ACATCAGCAACAGTGAAACCCTCACCAGCAGCAGCTACACCAAGTACCATGGCCACATCATCTACAAAGAAAGTAACAGCAACAGCAAGGCCCGCAACAACAACAATCGCGGCAAAGCCAGCATCACCTACCAAAAACGCTACTACTTTCCCAACAACAGCAAATCCCACAGCAAGACCGCCTTCTAAGAGGATCACAACATCCCCATCATCAGCATCGACATCAACTCCGAAGTCCTTAGCAACATCTCCTACTAAAAGGGCAACAACGTTCCCAATATCTGCAACACCAAAGGCCACAGCAACATCACCCACTAAAAAGGTCGCCACATTCTCAGCAACAATAACATCGCCCACAAAAAAGTCCACAGCATTCACAGCAACGGCAACGGCTGGTAAAACCCAAACAAGCAAATCAGCAACAGCATCCATCAGCAGCAGCAGCAGCAGCAACATGTCCCCGAAGCAGAACAAGCCATCGGCAACAGCAAGCTCAGCAAAGGCAACATCAAATAATGCAGCAACAGCGAGCAAAACGAAAGCAACTGCAACACCTAAGAAATAAAATGAAGCTCAACTCGAAACCTGACATAAACTGTAGTTCCAATATTGAACACTATTTTTCTAAGTACCTATTTAAACTTATGTAAAGGAGCTCGAGCTAAGCGAAACATTGTTTTTAAGCCTATATATATACATATGTGTGTTATATATATACATATATGGATATTTATATAAATGTTATACGCCTATGTGTTTATATAGATGTAGATTTTATAAATATTTATTTGTATCACATTTACTTTGGCACCGAACAGCTACAGAAATTATATGGAAATTGCAACACTTTCAACAATTTCAAATAGTTTCCAAGACTTAATGAACATTTGCCAAAATATAGAAATTGTTTTGAATGAATAGGTTTTAAAGAAATGAAGAATGACTAGAAAGTTTAGGAGCACCGAAAACCAAATACCCTTGTAGTATAATATTTTGTATAAAGAACATTTAAAATGTATGTCTAATAATTTAAACTTAATACTTTATCAACATATGAATTACAATGTATCGTCAAATGCTTAACATGCGTATATGCCGAGGCCCGAAGGTACTCAAGTTAGTCGAAAATAATTAACTTTAATTATAGATTATTATCGATAACAAATGCCATGCTGATATCGACTCAGCTTGAGGTCCTGATCAAGAATATATATTCTATATGAGATCTGGCACTCCTTCTGCCTGTTACAGACATTTTCATAAAAATATTCTCTGAAATCCCATTTAGAGTGGTTTAACGATATATAAAATCAATCAATCAAATCCAACTAGGCGAAATCTTGGGATATATCATGTTGATGAGGAAGATAGCAATACATCAATTACATGCTTGTATATGGCTTGAAAGGAGAATAAAGATACACAAAACCAAGCATATATATTGTACTAAAATTAACTTAAAATATTTTATTATTATTTTAGTTTAAAATAAGTTTATTTTTACTATCCACTACAAGGGTATTCAAGCAGCAAACATTTGAAAGGTGCTTGCCAGCCACAACACTAACTACAATGACTAGTCTACCTATAAACACTATGCAACTATGTTGTAATAGTTCCTTAACAACTAATTTATGTGCTCACTGTTCCCCTAAGTATTATGTTGAAAGACTCAATGCAATTACCAAAAAGTTAACGTAGGTTTTAGTAAATCACAGAATGGCTCGTTTGATTGTTGTGCGATAGAAAAGGTGTCTATATAACATATAATATATACATATATCCCGATTATATTTAGCCGTATTCTGTACCTATTGGTTATATTAGATACATTAGAAAGAGCAATGTGCAAATGCAATGGAAAAAAAGATACATTTATACACATATATACAATATACCCAATATATATATTGAAAAAACTACGTATACACAATAAATACTTATTTTTACTGCAAATGTTCTTAATAATATATTTTAAACATTTTTAATGAATTTTTATAAGGCTTGCGATTTGGGCAAGGGTCAAGGCACGAGCTGGACTTTTATTATTTATGTTATTCACTTTGATTTAGGCTCCTATGCATGCTAGTTAATATTTATATGTCTGTATATGTACAGCTATTGAAACAGTACACAGTTTAATGTAAAACTCTATTCTGATAGGCCTAAATAAATGAGAGACTCATGTACCTAATGAAATTAAGATACGAGTGGATTTTTCAAGATGCATAGACCTATGGATCTTACAGAAACAGCAAAACTAGAAACCTACAACTAATTCTAAGCAAGTATTTAGAAATGTTTTATGTGTGTATGAGTAACTAAAGAAATACCGAAAATCAAAAAAACAATAATTAAACTAATGGAAAATAATAAGAAGCAAATCTAATTTATATGGAAATTATTGTGTATTGTTGTTGAAATATACTATTTATAATATATATATGTATACATGTTATTAGATGGAGAAAAAAAAATCAAAAAGCTGTGTGTTGCCTAAAACAAAAGAGAAAAACTAAAAACAAAAATAGAGTAAAGATTGTATTAAAATATACCTATAACATTTGTATGTGTTTGTACATCTAGCTAGTGGAAAAAGAAATACAACAATAATGAAAACAGAAAGATATAATAATAATAATATAAAAACATATATATATATATATACATATATATATGATTATGATTTATGCAGAATCAAAAATATTTTAAGTGTTGATTTACAAAATTTGTAATTTAGTTTTGTTAAATTTATATGTTAAGTTTCCAACTAGATTCAAACTACTGTAAACCCGAAATTTGTGATAATTTTTTATACTATGTTAAATTTTTGAGCATTATGTATTGTCCACGTATAGGAATAGAACTTAGTTATATACATATATAGCCAATGAGCAAGTAAGGATATTAACAAAACAGGAATTTTATTCAATTGTTGTTCTTGAGTTGTTTTTAGCGCAGTAGCTGTGACATAATATTACGAATTAAAGTACCTAGAATAAATTTACAAAACATGTTCTACATATACATATATACATATATGATAGCCCAACTGTTAAAGTATTAACCCATTGTCGCATGTCGTTTGTTTATGTGAATGTGTCTGTACCTGTAAAAGCTACTAAATTATTAGAAATAAATAGAATATGTATAATATAATGAAATTATCAACAATAATCTAAATATGGAAAATGTTAAATGGCTGTTAAAAAAATGAAAAATATTTATATGATCAAAATGCAATTGAAAAACTCATACATATGTACATATAAAAATGAGCTAAATATTTTACGATAAGCAAATCGAAAGCAATTTGCTCAAATCAAAATTTTTGTTTACTCGTACCTAAATAAAGAATATCTAGCTAAAGCTGTCAATTCCGGCAAGATAAATGTTAGAAGTATGCTCAACTATTTGTGAATGAAGATAGCAGATAAGAGAGGTTACTTTCAAAAATAAAAATTAAATAATCAATTTTCATTTCAAAACTATAGGAGCTTCAAATTTTTTATGAAACTTTGAGCTACGAAAGGTATAAATAAATCCGAATAGTTGAGGAATTATTACAAAATTCATATCGTTACATTAAGCTTATAAAAACCCAAAATAGCTATACGATAAATCTTTAAACTGTATACTGTAATCTTGAAAAAATTTAACTCCACCCACCTTTTTAATACGCTCGATCTACAATAAAAACCTCATTGAAATGCAACACTTTGAAATGAAGCTCAAATGAATATAATTATATAGATGAACATAAGATAAATATGTAGGTATATATACACATACATATATGCCGTAAAATAGAATTGATGTATTACCTATAAAATAAGTGAAACTTAAACAGAAATGCAATTGACAAGTTATTTTATGTAGCAGTCGGCATTGGTCGACTTGATGATGCCCTATGCCTAAGTAACCTCAATGATTTGATATTACTCAAATAACTTCAGTGTTCTTGGAAAACCTTGTTCTTCGACATGGGGCATACTGAAAAGTAGACTAAAAAAATGTTCACAACTTGAAATGTTGCTAAAAACAGTACATTTATTTTGTATGTACTATTATATATTAATAATAGCTGAGAACTCTTCTCATTGTCCGATCAGAGTGTATATATTTGATAAGTCAAATAACCCACGAAATAATTGTTATATGTATATGCAAAAATGTATATGCGCAAATGTATCTATGTTTTATGCAGTTATTGAGCAAATAATTCTTATATTAACAAAATATTTTGCTGTTCATGTAAAAGCCGATGATGCACTTTAAAAATAAAAATCGATCGAAAATTCCGAAGCGGCCAAAAAACCAAATGTACTAAATATATGTTACTATATTATAAGAAATATTATTGTATTATTAGATAATTTATGAATAAATATTTATGGGTTTTAACAAAACAATGAATTGAGAAAAAAAATTTTAGTTGTGGAGGGAAACAAGGATGATAGTTTTCCCACGGATTTGATAACCGTTATGGGCACCGAAGGCGTAATTCCCACCAAATTTAATCTGCCTACTCTGACATAAACGGTATTAATTATAATCAAATTAATCCGGCCAAAGAGAGTGGCTCTATAATTATGCACGTACGATACGCGCACGGTAAAGATGATAAGATGCGAAGAAAAAGACACAATCACTTCCGAAAGTGAGATTTGAACCTGCGGTAACTCGCACGACTATGCATCAAAGTATCGGCACGTTGGCGAGCGACGCCACAAACGCATCTTAGACCTGAAGGTCTAAATTTAGTTTTCTTCAAGAATAACATTTGAGCACAATTGTGTGAACACTTTGCACTGCTTATATACAACTGCTTTAAATACTGCTTCACAGGTACTGCTTTACATGCTTAGTATTTCCAATTGGAGCTGCTTTAAACAGCGTTGCAAATTTGATTTCATTGCAATTTACCGAACATTAAAAAGAGTAAATTTTACGTTGTGTAACGACTTAGGGCTTGTATAAAAAAAGTATTTATCGCATACACTCAGTGGATAATAAGTGCATTACTACCAAATGGCTTCGAGATCGCTCCGTCTAATACTGCGCGCCTTTCCACTAATAATGGCTGTGGCTGAGAAAATGGTTAACACCTATAAATGGTGCACGTCTGCGTCTGGTGGAAAATGCATCAACTGAACACAAAGTCAATGTATTTATGTTTTCAAGTCAAATAAAATCTCTTAAAACATAGTAGCAAACGCTTTCGAATTTCAAAGCTAAGGTTTCATTTGAAGTAGAACTTATTAAGAATAGTCTCAAAATAGCTTAAGCAAAATGCAAGGCGCCGACGCTCAGGTATATATATTTATATATACATATATATCATTTTCGCTTTTTCACTTTATTTGCTAATAATTTATATCAGCCGAAGCGCACTCAGAGCTATGTGAATGAGGCCTATCGTTTGGTTCTTGAGAAACCGGGCGTGGAGGAGGTGCTCATCATGAATCATTCGGGAGTGCCAGTCAAAACATCAATGTCGCGCCAGGATGCACTGCAGCATGCCTGCCTCTATGACAACTTCCGCGAAAAGACCCAAGCATTCCTACAAAAGCTGGAGCCGCCGCAGACCCTAACTATGCTACGTGTGCGCACCAAATTGCATGAAGTCCTCATAACACCCGATGCCAAGATTACAATATTAGTTGTTCAAAATGCAAAGGATGCATATATGAAGTCCTTAGACCCTTAAACTATCAACTGTTTTCTAGAGGTCTATCAACCCCACACTGTTCTTCGTTTTCATGTTCATGATCAACCAATAAATTGAGAGTGGTCTCTGCAGACTATATTTCCGCACAGAAACATATTATTTTCACATAACCCTCTACCCACAACTGTTTGCTTATCAATAGGCCTGTTTAGCAACGTGGATAAACCTGCATTCTCAACTAACACTAATGCAACTCTTTCAGCACTCTCCAGAAGCTTCTTTCAATGCTCAGCTGTCAACGCATTCGTTTAGCAACAGTTGTACGATTGGCAAGAATAATAATAATGAATATTCAATCAAGTCTATGGTTTGTTCTGTCGTTCCTGCTATGTTCAGGCTCGCCTCCTGTACATTGCGACATTTCAAGTGCGAGCCACTACTCCCAAAAGGTGTCAAATTCTGTTCTGGATTTATACATTGACATCGACAGCATCAGCAGCAGCACCAACAGACACAGTGAAACAACAATGACAGTGACTCCTGACAGTAGCAAAGTTGATTTCGAGAGAGCGCCCATTGTGCCCACACACATATATCCTTATTTGTTGCTGGCGCTGTGGGTAACATGCATAAGTGAGCAATCTGAATGAATACAAACTGATATTACTGATTCGCTTATCCTTGCAGCCTGCGTCGTCTGTTGCTGCTTATACTGCAAGTGCCAGCAGGCGGAGAGTATGACAGCGTACAACTCAAATGGCTTTGAGCTTCGGGAAGTGCATGTCCAGAATCATCCTTTGCCGCACGTCCAGGGATGCGTTTGCCTGGGCTGCTTGCAGCGGCAGATAGCCAAGGAGATGCAGCTAAAACGCGAATACTAAACACAATTTTCGAGACGTTAAGTAACAAACATATAAGTTTATATTCAAGATTTGGCCAAAGCTATATATATATATGTATATAATACATATATAAAAAAAAGCTTACTTCTATTTAAACATAATTAAATTCGTCTTTTTATCGAATGTCTTCAGGAACTTTTGTCTTATTGGATTGAATATTTTCATTCTTTGGATAGTTTCGTTTTGATAGAGTTCAATAATAATACCTTAGCTGATTCACAAGCAAATGTTGGGCATGTTTAGCGCCTATTTAATCTGCAGCTTGGATAGTGTAAGTTGATCTACATCCAGCGGGGAGAGACTCAGTTTCATATTAAACTGCGTGGCCAGCAGGCGAAGCATGTCGAACTCCTTGTCCGTGTACATTTTGCGACTCATATTGAGAGACTGCAAAGAGGAATTATTGAACTCTTTCAACTGCGATTCGAATTCGCGTTTGAGCTGTTGATTTGAAACGTTTTCTTCAGATTTCTTCTCCGGCTGCTCTTTGACTGCCAGAGCGCGTGTCCAAATCTCACGCACAGACTTCTTATATTTACTAACACGCTGCTCCACTTTGATGATCTCCTCGCTAATCTCCTTGTTGTTTGGCTGTTTGGCTTGCGCCTGCACAAAACTTTTGCGTGCCTGCTCGTAATCCCCTAGCGCGGCCAGAGCGCGTCCTTCTTGGAACAGAGCCTTGCAGGAGGGCTGATTGTCAGTCAACCGCCGCAGAGCTTTCATGGCAATGCACACGCTCGCTGGTTTGTTCACCTTGTTGTTGCACACCATGAGGTTGGTGTAGAGAGTAATGAGCAGATCCCGCTGCTTGATCTCGTCCTTCTCATCCGCCAGGCGGCAATAGTTAAGCGACGCAATGGCCCGTTCAAAGGCCGCAACTGCATTGCGATAGGAGCCACGCTTCACACAATCCTTGCCATGCAAATGCATATCCTGCGCCTTTGGAAAAACCACTGCAAACTTGTTGCGATCCTCAGGGGCTATATTCTCCAGAGAGTTTTCATCGCCAATCAATGTGAATTCGATTACTTCAATTTTGAACAAACCATCCGCACGTGGTTTTATGCGCGGCGGGCAGCCCATTTCGTGGAACAGCAATTTATATGAAATGATAAACTCTGATTGCTCGTAGACACTCATAGTGCGAACCGCAGCCTCGAGACCCTCGAGAACCATATGCTGGCCCGTTTCGAACTCAAATTTGGTTCCACGCAGCATAGACGAATCGAATGGAGCGGTCTGGCCCTCCCAGTATGCAGTGTAACGTAATGCCACGCGAGCCTTATTCGGAACAAGGCCCTGCTCCTTGATACCTGCTCGTGTAATCCGTTTGTAAATATACTCATTCACGGGCGTCATTAGCTTGCGCAGCTCCTCAAAGGGACGCGTCCAGGGCGAGACGAGAGCCTCATGATCAATCGCCTCCTCATCAACATCTTCATCGTTGTCATCCACAACAAAGTCATCATAGGCAGTATTATTGTAATTGGCCGTATCTACTTCAAATTGTGTGCCAGCATTTATCAAATCACTTAAAACAAAACAATTATAAATATTGAATGCAGCCTTACCACGTTATTCTCATTAAACTTACGCAAAAGATAATGGCTCCTTAAGCAATTGAGGGTTTGTATTGTAGGTGTCCTCCATTGCAATAGAAAACTGTGCAACCAAATGTTCTTTCGAATTTACAGCTTATAATAACTTGAGCTTATAATTGGTAATTTGACCTTCTGCGCAACAAGGAATACACGCACTTGTTTCAAGCAGCCTTTCGATAAACTGTTTCAACGATCTGTCATCGAATTAAGTCAGTGTTGTAAAGGACGTGCTTAAATCTGCGTTTGCACGCTGACCCAAGTCAGTGGTTTGCATCGAGAGCTCTAATCATTTAGAATATACACTAATTTAAGTATTTATTTAAACATTTTCCTGAAAATGAACACAAATACCAGCTTATACAAATATCTTTTTTGGTGCATACAATATAATACAAAATAACAAACAAAAATAATAAACAAGGAATGCTCAATGATGGCGACAAAAACCAAGATTTAGTGGTTTTCATTAGAGGCGATACGATTAATATGCATTCGAATTTATGGGCTATTCTATAGTATAATTATATATAAAATCATTTCTAGTGAATCAATTAGGCATCGAACCAAAATATTCACTTTTTTAGGAGCTTATTCATTTCTTTGTTTTGCTTGACCAAATTAATGTCCACGCTCTCAATTTTGTAGTTCATATTGTCTAGCAAACTGTTCTGCGACTCAATTTCAGTGCCCAAATCAGTGGCCAAGAACTTGAGGCGAGACAGATTATCGCACATCTCATCGAGATTCGATTCCAGTTGCTGCTGAAAAGGGTTCGCAGCGCGTTGCTGAGCCTGCGCCTGGCGCTGATGAAAGGAACTTCTATCGTCTCGAATACCACTAACTGGATGATTGTCATACCGCTCTGTTGGTGACATCGGCTGCTTGGGTATCGCACCACCACCAACACCACCTGACATCGAATTGATATTTGAGTTGGCCTCCTGAGATACTTGACTGCCAGAAGGCGAGGCAGTGGCCGTTGGAGCATCCCGATTGCCCGACAAATAGTTCTTAAGGCCGCCAAAAACACTTTTTAATCCGTTCAAATGACGCTGACTAAATCGCAGTGTAGAGTTTATTTCATCTAATTGATTTGAGGTCTTCTCTAGTTGTTCCCGCTGCCTGGCCAGCTCCACAGCTGTTGCTCTACCCACATCCTCCGTTTCGTAAAGTAGACCTAATAACGAGATTATTTAATTGGTACGCCCACAAAAAAATATGTACTTTTTTTTTATCTGAACATACCCAAACTCTTTTGCGTCGAGTCCAGTGTACGCTGCTCTATTTCTCTGCGCCTCTCCGCGTAGGCCTGTCTCTGTGCTGCGATTGACGAAGATGTTGATATCTCGTCATCATCTTCAAACGGATTCGTACTGCGTTGTGCCTTTCCTTCACTTGTTCGCGTGTTTCGCAAAAACAGGTCATCGTCTACGTCTGCAAACTTATCTATATCAAAATGATTATCCACTGGCTGCAGATAGTTATTGGCCATTTTTTAAATGCGTTTGACCAATAAGCACAATTAATAGAATAATTTAAATATGTTAATTTTGTGGTCACTGTGTCCAATTTAATTTTAATATAATATTTTTTCTTTGTTGTTATTCGTTTTACTTATCGGATATACAATCGTTATCTAGTAGAAATATCGATAGTTGGCTTACGATGATCAGAACAGTGCGCTAACAGATTTTTGTTGCTAACGCAACGGCATATGTACAACAGTAATCAATAATATAAAATACTAGAGATTTGTCAGAATTTTCATATTTTTATGGGTAGAACTCGTGGTATTTAATAACAGATGTATACAATTAATTATTATAAGATGCATTGGTTAGTGGAAACACTTAACTGTAAATATTCAAAGAATCGATTATACGATAAGTCATCTCTAATGTCAATCTACATACTAACACATCTCTACTGTATCGGACCGGACGGCTCCGTGTCCGCAATTTTTACGTTTATTTTAAACAAAAGAAAACAGATCTAAACAAAGGAAATAATTGTGAAAATTTAGCAAAATCATAACAAAATTAAAAGCGTTTTTCAAAATATATACAGAACACCTTGCTACCATGCACTGTCCCTTAAAAATTTTGACCGCGTCATGTGTCATCGTGACGCTCTTCGCTGCACAAAACGCTGCTGGTGACCGTTCTTCGACGGCAACGAAAAGAGTGTCGCAGGCAAATGGCAACTTAATCGAGTTGGACGAGGACAATTGGCATTTAATGTTAAATGGCGAATGGATGATTGAATTGTAAGTAAATCGAGCGATGGAAATAAACGAAAAAATCAACGCAGACGCAGTTTGTGTGGGGTGTTGCCGGTAAGCAGATACTACAACAGCAATAACCAATAACAGAAACAACAACAGCAACGGTAAAGCTGGTGTTGGAGCTGGTTCTAGTTCTGTGGAATGTTGCATTCCGCTTAGTGATGTGCGTTGAACGTTTCTGATTGGCTACGTCATTTGCTGCGTGCCTGAGTCATGAGCCGGCAGCTGCGTTTTTACAGCTGTTTTCGGCACAAACAAAAAAATAAAATGAATAGTTTTAAACAAATATTGGAGCAACATAACCAAAAAATAGACAACGTGTGCTTTAAATTTCCTTTAGGATATACATAAATTCATGTTTAAATATGTAAAAATATTATGCTAGAGATCTAGGCGTATGCCCTTATATACGGATTAAGAGGATGTGTTTAAGGCGAAGGCATCCAGTCTTACAAATAATAGGATGCCTTTTTACTTTTAGTCTCTTTCGTAAAAAATTAAATTCTGAATATTAAGCGTTCATATAATAATTAATCACATTGTGCATCATCACATCTTTTTCCTGCAGCTTTGCTCCCTGGTGCCCTGCCTGCAAAAATTTGGCGCCAGTTTGGGAACGCTATGCGAGCACAGCTAAGGATGTTAATGTCAATGTGGCCAAGATTGATGTAACCACATCGCCATCGCTTAGTGGACGCTTTTTTGTCACCGCTTTACCCACAATTTATCAGTAAGCTTAAAATATACATACGACATACACTTTGTAAATATTAATGATACTTTTGCATTTAACGCAGCGTGAAGGATGGAGAATTCCGTCAATATCGTGGCGCACGCGATGCCGATGCTTTGTTATACTTCTTGAAAAAGAAGTCGTGGCAGAGTATTGAGCCGCTGTCCTCATGGAAAAAGCCCGACACCATTCATATGTCCCTTCTATCCTATTTCTTTAAGCTGTCGCACACATTGAAGGTACATAACCCATGCAATCGCTTGTTTACGTCTGCTTCGGTTTGATTATGTCGTAGCTTAGTTCAATGGACGCATGCGGAAGCTTATCTCGCGAGATTGGGCCAAGAGGTTATATTCCATATATTCTCTATCTCCCAATGAACTGTAACAGTGGTGCAAAGCCGGTTTAATTAATTAAATTTACCAAATCGGGCTCAGTCATTGCATCATAAGTTTCCGCACATTCCCAAGCTTTTGCATAATGAATATGTTATATATTGTATATACTAATAGCGCACACAAAAACTCTTTAAGGATTTCAACGCGCGCCTGCAGGAGGAATATGGATTGCCCACCTGGGGCTCCTACGCATTGTTTGCCATCGCCACAATATTTGTGGGAGCTGCCCTGGGGTTGATGCTTGTGTGCATTGTGGACTTTGTTTACCCACCAAAGAAAGCACAGCGTCAAAGTTTCTCCGAGTCGCAGGAGCATCTAGCCGAAGGAGTAGAGGACCTAGCTACCGAGGAAATCGAAGATGACGAGGAAGCTGTCGAGCATGAGGGACGCAACAGCGATGACGATGATGATGAGGAAGAGGAGGAGGAAGATGCCGAAGTAGAGGCGGAACAGAAGAAGCAAAATAATGGTGACACTGCAAATAAAAATAAGTCCGAAAACAAGGTAGAGAAAACAGAAGCGACAGACAAATCGGCCGGCGATGAGGCGTCTGAGAGCACAGATAAACCCAATACAGAACAGGTGCGCAAGCGTAAGCCCCGCAAGGCGGATTAGAGTATGCTCGAGGTATGCTGAGCGACGCGTAGGGTGGCAACAAAAAGACTAACATAACATTACAAAAGAAACAATCGAAACATTTAGCATTGTAACAAACCAACTTTCTGCAATTTGTTGGTAATTGTATTGAATTGTTCAATTTCGCGCACAATACGAAGTAATTTTGTCTCATTTGAAATGTATTCCAATTGAAGCTGCAGCAAATTATTTCTCCCACACGCGAGGACTTTGCTAAGTAGCAAATATTCAAGTATCGGCAATCGCATCCTAGCACCAACATGTATTTCATAATTATAAAGGAGTAACAATAATTAAATAGTTAGTCATTTTATTTAACGTTTGCATTTCTCATTGCTTTCATAGTTTCACTTCTAATCAATGTGTTCACATTTACTTACAAGAAAACCATATTTTTTCAATATTTTTAAATTTCCCGAATACAACGGCAAACTGTATTAAATTTGTGTATTACAATTGAAATTGATGTGTCTTTCGTCAATAAGCTAATGCAAATATTGCATTTAAAACCTCTTGATCCAGCATCTTGCATTAAAGCGACCAAATAACATTTGAGCTGAAATTAAATAAAATGATAATGCAACGAGAAAAGTAAAAACTAAATTTTAAGAATTCAATTCATTGAAAAATAATACAATATATTAAAATCATTCAATGTGTATTTTACTGAAGTGTAATTCTATGTAAAACAATCACCATTAAACACTTTAAATAAAATGATATATACATTTACTATTAAAATTTGCTTCTTATTGATTATAAAAGAAAAGTAACATTTTTTATTTGGTGTGCGCAATTTGAGACTACATTTGACGTTTGATTGGTGGCAGCCAGCCCTTCATCCGATGCTCATCCGCCAGTGTGCTATCGAGATCCAGGCAGGACATGCGCGCCAAGCTCTCTTTGTACCCGAGCAAGTGTTTCGCATCCAAGTCGGATATGTCGCCATGTGCTTGATTACCCATGTAGAAGGCTCTTTGGCACTTGCGTGCGAAATCCTTTTCTAGCGTCTTGTCGACGCGCAGATAGCGTCGGCAATTATCCGCCACAGACGATGAACGCTTCCGTATTTGAATCTCGCGGTGTTGGACAAATGGCGACAGCGGGGTATCCTGCAGCTGAGCAGTTACTGCGCGTGTATAGAAGCCATACTTGTTCATTGTATCGGATCTAAAATTTTGAATACAGTGTTTTGTTTTTGTTTTTTTCCTACACAAATATTTTCAAACAGGAGTCGAGAATTATCTGGCTAGCGCGTGACGTAAATGAAACAGACTTATTTCTCATTTGTAATTTTGATGTATTTGTATTTTAGTCGTTTGTAATTTACAAGTTTGATCTAACTTAAATGTCAAGAGCGAAACTAAACCAAAGATTTACATTTTTTATACATTTATTTTTATTTTATTAAATAGGTTTATAAGTGTATGAAAAATCCCTGCAATTTTGTTATGTTTAAAACTACAATGACAATATATATGTAAGTGTGTGTGTGTGTGTATTTGCCAAATTTGTTGTTTCTTAGAAGTTCATTGTTGCCAAAGTAATAACTATTGTTTACACATTGTTATTGTTATTGTTACTGTTATTAGTATAAAAAGGTATAAAAGTTGTACATATAATTATGTATTTATTTCATTTGCGCCTGCACTTAAACATAAACTTGTTTAATCTGCCTGCTTTGTTGTTGCTTGGTTTTTTCGTTTGTATTTTTCACTTGGCACTTGTGATCAATGAATTAACTGTTGCTGGTTTTTAAATATATTAAAGAGAAACAAAATGACAACATTTTGATTGTGAAACAAATAACAGATTCAACAAATGGCTATGGCTATTGTAGATTCGATGCGATTTAACGGTAGGGACTTTGAGGGGTTTGTAGGTACTTGGTGTGTGTGTGTATAAATAAATTTCTATATATAAAATATATATTTGATATATATTTTTTTGGTTGTAAAAATTGTACTATTGCAGCGTATGGAGGAAGTTTGTGGGAAAAGGATTATCGGGGTAGGGAATATTTTGTGTGTATGTGTTCATGTTTTCAAATACTTTAAGTAATTGTGTATGTGTGATAAATTTTGGATTTTCAGTTAATTCGTCTGTTTCTTTTCTTTCGCGGTTTTAACAAACGCCAAATGCTTACACTGATATGCATATGTATGCAAGCATATTGTGTGTAAGTGGTTTTCTGACAGCAAAGAACATTCGTAATTACTTTAAATATTTAAAAAGCATTAATCGTGTGCATTAAACATTTTGCAAATGCAACTGAAAGCAAAGAAACGGACAAAAAATATATGATTCAAGTATTCGAAACAAAGAAAAAAGTGCGGCAGCAAGCAACTAGTGCTGCCACCCATCAATTTCTGGTAGCTATCGATAGCAATTTAGTACATTTTTTGCATTAAGCTTTCAGTTACACTTGTGGGAGGGTTGGTGGCGTTGCCATCGTTGTAAAATTAACTCTTGTTTTGCTTTGAAGGCGCGCAAAAGCTAATTTTAAAACAACGCAATTGACTTAAACTACTAAATAACTGGCTAGTTATATATGAGGTATTTGTATGTGTTGAGTGATGATTGTGGAAATTTTGTGTGGCGAATTTGGGGAATTTTGTAAACCGGTCTATTGCATAAAATTGCAGGTCCGTCGCCTTGCAGTCGCAAGGGACGTGAAAAAATGTAGCAGTAATATTTTAAAAAACTAGTTGCCGCTGGCTATGCGACAAAGTCGAGCGGCCGATTGAAGCCACCCTTACGGTTCATATACTGGCGATACTTGCGCTTGAGGATTACATGCACTTCACCAACATCGTTGCCCTCGACTTTCTTGTTCTTGGTGGTGTCAAAGGTGCAGAAGCCCATTGTCTTCAGCATCTCAACCTCTTCCGGCGATTTACCCTCCAGATCTGCTTCATTGATCTTTGGACGCTCCGCAGCTGCATTCGCTGAATTGTTCCGTGTGGCGCGCCTGGATGTCGAAGGGCCTGAGCTGCTGCCTGCACGACGTGAACGGGATCTGTGAAAGGATATGAGAGAGAGAGAGAGAGAGAAAGCGTCTCCTACTTAATGAACTGGAAGTTGATTGCATTTAAATCAAAATGGAAATACATAAATGCACAGATGCATTTATATAGGATGCACTTGGGCAAACTAGGGCAGGGTCATTTGTACATATGTATGTATACATTATACGGTTGTTTGAGGATCTAATTATGAAACGTGACGCCTTTCAATAATATTATACAACCGGTTATGCACCAAACTTATTTGTGGTCGTCTTGTATTTTTGCCAACTGTTTACAAAGGATAACAAAATCAATGTGTGTGTATGCGTGCGTGTGTGTGTGTGTACTTAAATATAATAGAAAGCTGTTTTGTTCGCTTAGGACATCTCCTCGATGAGTGCGGCACGCAGCTTTGTCGTCACCGTCGCTGGCTGGGCTTGATTCAACTTGAATACGCTCTCAATGACGGAAATCTCGGTGGCTGTTGTATTCATGCCCACAAACGAGATCCAATCGTTGACGACCATGCCGGCAGCCAGGACTTCACTGCCACGATTCACAGTGCCCGCAACTAGAGGCACTTGCAGCAAGGACGACAACTCATCTTGATCCTGAATGCTTGTCTTGGGATGCACCATGCCGCCTTGATTGCTCAGCACTGTGTAGGAGCCGACGAGCGTGTTGTCGGCAATGGTCTGCCGAAAGACTTCTACATTGAGCACGTCTGCTATAATTTCTTCCGTCTCCTTATCCAGATCGGGATGCACCAGGGCCACATAGTCATTGCACGCAATCACGTTGCCCAAAGCAGACAGACGCTCCTCGACACGCTGTATCTTAACGGCATCCGGCAGACTGTTGCGCAAATGCTGCAGCTCCTCATCGGTGGTGGAATGCGGTACTAGCAGTCCGTTGCGATTGCCGACGGTGAGCCGGCCAATTATGCGGCAGCCACCGATGTTGGCATGGACGACAGGTATGGTCTCGGCTAATTCGGCCTCGTAGGCACTGTAGAAGGTCTCCGAGCCACCAATGGCAACCAGGCAATATGTGTTTGTTAATTTACTGAAGACGCCAATATCGTCATTGTTCTCGAATTGCACGCGCAGCGCCATTTTGTGTGAGATTTAGTATTATATTTTTTGATGTCGAACAATAAAACTATATTCGCTTCGAGCTCTGTCCGCTTTCTAATGCCCCACACTTTACGCTGTATGGTTTTAACACAATCTAATAATGTACTTTCAGCTGTGTTGTGAAATTCGTGTATTTCGCTTCACGTGGTAATTTGCTAAATAGTTGCCGAAAGAACAATTGATCTGGGGATGGCAGACAGCGAACTAGTGTGCTGTCAAATCGCACGCACAGCACACACAGGGCTGCATTATAACAGCAAATAACAGAACTAGTTCGTTTAAATTGCCACGCTTTTAAATTAAGCTTTTATCACGAGGCATACTAAGTTGTTTTGTATAGGTATGGTTAGTGATTATATACGTAATAAATGTGTTAAAAAATCGCTAGTACTTTATACTTATCGTTGTGGTTTGGTACACTACACTTGCTTATTCACCTCGAACGCCTTCCCCTAGCACGGTCACGCTCGCGCTCACGCTCACGGTCCCTGTCACGGCTGCGGCTTCTTTCGCGCTCACGATCACGTTCCCGCTCACGGCGACTGCTGCTGGTGCCAATCCCAATGGCTTCTCTTTCTCTTGAGCGTCTTTCTCGGCGCTTTTTGCGCTCTGTGCGCTCCTTTTCCCTTCGTCTGTGTGCGGGCGAAGCGGGGCTGCGACTGCGACCCATCTTATTCCTTAATATTTATGTGTACGTTTTTTAAACGTTTACAAATATACAAAGGCCTAAGTAGTCACATTTTATTAACATTCTTATTATGAATAATTAACCATCGCGAACACTCACCGTTGCTTAATGCTGTGTCTAACTTAAATTGGACGACACCGGCATTAAGTCGAACGCTCTAAACCTAAAACTAAATGTAAAAACGAAGTGCGTTCCTTCACACCCGCGACGCCAAAACAGACTGCAAATGGCCGCTTGTCACAACAGCTGATTGTGGTTCACATTTAGGAGTTTTGCATTTTTCGGAGTATAATCAGTGTGACCATTTTTCTACGAACACTCGATATTCCATATTCGATATCTCTCGGAAATACCAAACTTTGGTATCGAAATGTCAAAGGACAAAAGATGCTTTTAATAATAAAACACACCATTTTAAATAAATTGAATAATGCTATTATTTTCCTTATTTCGAAAATTGTAGGGCCCAGCGATTATTCCTAAAACATTTCAGCTATTTTTTAATTCCCAACATTTACCGACAAAAGATCGATAAGTCTTATTAATAATCAGTTTTTAATATTTTTCATATTTCGAAATTAAGGACTTGTTACATGTTGGTCTAATTGTTTAATTGATCAAATTTTGATTTTAAATTCTAGATTAATTTAAACGGATCACTCACAACATAAGTTCAATTGAAAAAGGTCATCGGTAGCATTAAAGTACGTTAATTTGAGTGTGTTGTGTGGAATGTGTATGTAGGAAGTAGCATCACATAGCAACGATCACTTTGATATTACATATTTATAATATTCTCTTCAACCTTTACATAATGAAGATTCAAGCTGCCGGCGCCAGCTAAGCGTAAGCGATTCCAATTAACCTACCTACATATTGCCCACATAGACAAATTATCGCATTATCATCTTTTGCTCTTATCAGCAGCAAGCTATGCAACTAATTGCCATGTTGTTTATATGCGCGAATAAGCACAACAAAACACAATAATGAATAAGCAGAGCAAACAGCTGTTACTTCATGCCGAAAAGCTCTTTATCAAAGCTTTTGTATTGGGGCCCGCACTCGCTGAGCATCGCAGTTCTCAATTTGCAGGCAGCGCCGGTGGGTGCGCCAGTACCTTTCATTTCGTTGTTATTTCTGTGTATTTTAATTTTTAAGCGACTTGCAAGATGGGTGATCCAATGAAAGTGGAAGTTAAGGACATTGACAAGCTGCTCGAAATGGATGGCTATCTGAAGCCGTTCGAGCGTGAGATTCGTCGCCGGTAAGTTAGAGTTGTCATCACAGAATGCGGTTAGCGGTTAGAGACGCGCGTCATATAATCCGAAGTTTTCACCGGCTGATAAGCGGATCAGTGTGGAATAGAGCAGCAGGTTGTTGTTGTTTCAGTTGCGCCTCACAAAATCATATCAACTGGCTTTGCACTGCTGCCCGAAGTGCAGTTGGAAAAGTGAGGCGGTCAATGTCAGTTGAAGGTCGTGTGTCTAATTTATTTCGCTTTTTTTGCTTTTTGCGTGTGCGTGCGAATGATGCCCTGGTGCACCGCAAACATTTGGAACTGCCGTCGCGCCATTCATTTGTATTGGCCTTGAGAACTAAACTTGATTTCCGTGTTTTCTTTCATTAACTCTTATACAGGCATGGCGTACTGAAGGATTGGATTGCGAAGATTGATCAATGCGAGGGCGGCTTGGAAGAGTTCTCGCAGGGCTACAAGTACTACGGCCTACACTTTCAGCCGGATAATTCAGTGATTGCACGCGAGTGGGCGCCGGGTGCAAGAGATGTGTATCTTACTGGCGATTTCAGTGAGTATACAAAAATTTATTAGAGCCGAAATGCCCTCTTCAATAAATGTGAAATGAAAGATCAGATATAGTTCAATATTCGGGTCGTTAAGGATGTGCAAGGGAGCTAGCACCAGTTTTCGCCTCGCTTGCCGATTCGCTCTTATACTGCCAATTTAAAAGCTATTTAAATATCGATAGCCGATCAAATGAAACGTAATCGATTGTAGAGAAAATTCGAATTTAAAAAGTATATTTTCATTTATTGATTATGGTCATTTTAATATCGATTATTAAACAGTATTTATATTATAAATTGACCTTGACTTAAATTCCTCCAGACAATTGGCACTGGGAATCGCATCCGTACAAGAAGCTGCCCTTTGGCAAGTGGGAGCTTCATTTGCCCGCCAATCCAGATGGCAGTGCGCCAATTAAGCATCTTAGCGAGATAAAAGTCATCATACGCAACCAGCACGGTCAGCTATTGGATCGCCTCTCGCCCTGGGCCAAGTATGTGGTGCAGCCGCCCAAGAGCGCCAATCAGGGAGTCAACTACAAGCAGTATGTGTGGCAGCCGCCAGAAGGAGAGCGCTATCAACGACAGAACGCACGACCGCCCAAGCCCAAGTCCCTGAGAATCTACGAGTGCCATGTGGGCATAGCCTCGCAGGAGCCTCGAGTGGGCAGCTACGATGAGTTCGCGGATCGCATTGTGCCGCGCATTAAGCGACAAGGCTACAACTGCATCCAGGTGATGGCCATCATGGAGCACGCCTACTACGCCAGCTTTGGCTACCAGGTGACCAGTTTCTATGCGGCTTCCAGCCGCTACGGCAACCCGGAGCAACTCAAGCGCATGATCGATGTGGCCCACGCCCAGGGTCTCTACGTGCTACTTGATGTGGTGCACTCGCATGCGTCCAAGAACGTGCAGGATGGCCTAAATCAATTCGATGGCACCAACAGCTGCTTCTTCCACGACGGCGCACGTGGTGAGCACGCCCTTTGGGATAGCCGTCTGTTCAACTATACGGAGTACGAAGTGCTGCGCTTCTTGCTGTCCAACTTGCGCTGGTGGCACGATGAGTACAATTTCGACGGCTATCGCTTCGATGGCGTCACCTCCATGTTATACCACTCGCGCGGCATCGGCGAAGGCTTCAGTGGCGACTACAACGAATACTTTGGCCTCAACGTGGACACAGATGCACTCAACTATCTGGGTCTCGCCAACTACATGCTGCACAAGCTGGACCCTGAGGTCATAACCATAGCTGAGGTGAAAATTGTATTCCAACTCGTACTTCTTCCTACTTCTAAATTTGTTTTCTGTTTGTCAGGACGTTTCTGGCATGCCGACACTGTGTCGCCCCGTGTCGGAGGGCGGTATTGGATTTGACTATCGCCTGGGCATGGCCATTCCAGACAAGTGGATCGAGCTGCTGAAGGAACAAACCGACGATCAGTGGGACATTGGCAACATTGTGCACACGCTGACCAACCGACGCTGGATGGAGAACACGGTGGCCTATGCCGAGTCCCACGACCAGGCGCTTGTCGGCGACAAGACCATTGCCTTCTGGCTGATGGACAAGGAAATGTACACGCATATGTCCACATTGTCAGAGCCGTCGATAATCATTGATCGTGGACTGGCACTGCATAAGATGATTCGTCTCATCACGCATGCATTGGGCGGCGAGGCATATCTCAATTTCATGGGCAATGAGTTCGGGCATCCCGAGTGGCTCGACTTTCCGCGCGTGGGCAACAATGACTCGTACCATTATGCGCGTCGCCAATGGAATTTGGTGGATGACAATATGCTAAAGTACAAGTACCTAAACGAATTTGACCGTGCCATGAATGAGTTGGAGGAACGCTATGGCTGGCTGCACTCGGGCCCCGCCTATGTGAGCTGGAAACACCAGAGCGACAAGACAATCCACTTTGAGCGCGCGGGTCTCGTTTTTGTGTTCAACTTCCATCCCACTCAGAGCTTCAGTGATTATCGCGTGGGCACCAACTGGGCTGGCACCTATCAAGCTGTGCTTTCCTCCGACGATCCCCTCTTTGGCGGCCACAATCGCATCGACATGAATTGCAAGCATCAATCGGATCCCTGGGGCCATGCCGGTCGCTCCAACTTCATTCAAGTCTACACGCCTTGTCGCACCGCCGTCGTTTATGCCAGAATCAGCGATTAGATGCGTTTGTTGGCTCACTTTGTTGATATGTAATTATGTATACTTATATATATACAACCGATAATCTGTGAATTTCAAAATTAGCTATAGTTCTTGTTTATGTTACGACAGCCTCATTGAAATATATACACAGTTGAGATATAGCTCTACAAAATGAGTTTTCTAATTTTAGGAATCTTTAATGGAAGAATGATAATCTCGACTTCATCATTCATATTAAAATGAAGTGTGATAAAAATGATTTAATTCCGTCATCCACTTACCGCAATTATTCAATGAATTTCCATTAAGACAGACTGATATTTTCATTTTTAAATTTTTATTTTAGTTCTTTATTTGCTTTGAATTTTTAAAATTGTATTTTTGTTGTCGTTTATAATAAATATATATTCATATATGTATAGGTAATTATTATTCATAGACTTTTTATACATAATGTATTCTACTCATGTTTTGCTTAATTATTTGCTTGCAGTTTCGTTCATTCGTTACGACTTACATAATCTACATAATTATCTTACAAAAAGTGTGCCTAACTCTTTTATTGTTTTTGTTGTTTTTTTTTTCTCATTTTTTCTTTCTCTTTTTCGATCTTAGTATAAATATGCCTTGAATCCTTATCATTGTCTTCCAATAGTTATAGTTAGTTAGTCCTAAGCAATAACTTTAGGTTTTTGTTTCGTTTTGTTTTGCATTGTGATTATGAAAAAATACTTTGATCTTAACTATGGTACCGCGCTTAGTATTAACAACTTAGGTCAGTGCTATGCTTCAATTCTTAGGCCTAACTTTAATCATAATCAATGTGTTGTTCTTAACGTATGCGGAGGGCTTAACAAAATTGCAAATAATATATTGGTTTTTTTTTTTTGTTGCTTTTCATTTGTTTTTTAAATAATATACAACATGTGGGGAAAGGTGAGTGGATAGTCTCTGTGATTTGGGGAGCAACAATAAAGAAGATAAATAAAATAAAAAATAAATAAATACGGCCAATACGCTAAATGAAATACGCTGCATAGCTGCCAAATAATCAAAGTGGCTTCATCTATATATTATATAGAGTATATATATAATGCAAAGGAACAAATTATTTATGTATCTCATTTACATATGTATTTAAGAGTTAGTTAAAAGTATTAAAATATTTAGTAAGCTGAAATTCAGTTTGTATCTATATATATTCTATTTTTTGTTAGCAAATAATACAGATTAAGTTGCTTGTTTTATCAATAATTATTAAATTAAATTAAACATAAATTTTGTCTGGCGCTGAGCTCTGCTGCCAGCGCCTGGTCAAAATCTTTGTTAGAAAACTGGGCTCGGGTGTCGTATGTTTGGTTATTTTGTTTTTGCACTTAAATATAGGCTTAATGCTTAGAAAATAATTTAAATGTTTGAAATTTACAGAATTCATTGCACAACACTGGCTGTGCGTGAGTGAGTGCGCGTGTGTATGCGATTATGCATCTGTGTGTGTGCCTACATCACGAACAACATTTCCTTGCTTTCTTCGCTTTACATGAATAATGCATATGCATATACTATATACATAGTACATATGTGTATGTATAGGATTCTTCCGTATGCTTAATGTATTATGTATATATATATATATAGAAAAATAAATTTGGTATGCATTTTAACATTGTGTAATATCAGTTGTGTTTTCTTCTTCACATGCTCGCAAAGCTTTCAATTGAGTTGTGGCTGCTTTCTAAGTTTAACTTGGCTTTTATTGTTTAAATATCAATTTTACTTTGTTTTGTAATTAAATTTTGTTTTGATTTCCTTTTTTTTTTTTAATGCTGCTCTTTTTGGTGGCCAAATGCGTCGATTTTTGGTAGATGCCCTACGTAAATGGAGGCGGGGCAAGTGGAATATTGTGGATAGAACTCTAGGAATTTGTTGCAGCTGGCAGCAGAGCAACACAACGAGCTGCGCCACGTGCTGCTCTGCGGCAGGTGCAACGGGCTGGAGATTTAAAAGAAATATGTGGTTGGCATTATCGTGGCATTATTCAAAAATCGACCCATTTGGCCACCCATTAGACCCTACGCGGCGAATAGTTGCGCTGCAGCAGCAACAGCTGCAGCCTGTTGCTGTTGTTGCTGCTGCTGCTGCTGCTGCTGTTGTTGGTGGTGTTGCTGCTGCAGCGGCGCCATAATTGGTATGGCGGTGCCGTCGGCCGTCAGCAGCAGCGTTTGCGTTTGCGTCTGCGCTGGCTGAGCTGCTGCTGTCGGCTCGGCTAAGGCCATATTGGCTGTCGGCCAGTCCGCGGGCAACACAATCAGCTGCTGCTGGCCAGCTTTGCTGGGATGCGCGATGATGCTGCCGTCGGCTGACTGCACCAATATGGTGTTCGGTGGCAGATTGAAGCAGGTGACAGTGCCATTGGGTCCCACGGTTTGCAGCTGCAGCGCCGCCGGCTGCTGCTGCTGTTGCGGTTGCTGCAGCAACATGGCAGATGTTGTCGTTGCAGCTGCAACCGCTGCTGCTGTCGCATTCTGATTGCTGTTGCTCCCGCTGCTGAGATCAAGACCGTCGCTGTCGTTAACTGTTTGCTCCAGCACCTGTTGCTCCTCGCAGCCAGTCGCCTCCTCGTCGATGACCTCTTCCACCAGATCATCCTCGTTGAGCTCTTCGATGATGTCGTCTGTGTTGTCCACATAGCTGGCTGCGTCTAGAGCAACGTTGCCTCCAGTTGCGCCCATGGGCGGCGAGGGCGTCGGCGTCGGCATGGCCAGATAACCATCCGCCGACTTGGCTGTCAGTGCTGTGCCCTTGGGTATGCGAAATTTGCGCAGGATTTGGGCTGTCGATGAGCACAGGGCGGCATTCAGTGTTTCCGCATCATCATAGACATCCTCATCAATGAGCTCCTCCTCTTGCTCGATCAGATGTTGCTCTTGCTGTTGTTGCTGCTGCTGCTGCTGCTGCTGCTGTTGCTGCTGTTGCTGCTGCTGTTGCTGCAGGTTAGATGCGTCTGGCGTAATGATAACCTGGCGACTGCGGCTGGCATTCGCATTGACGCGCAGCAAGGTGACCGCTGGCTTGCCGCCCGCTTGGCTGCCATTGAGCAAGGCGAGTGGCGGATGCTGCTGCTGCTGCGGCTGTTGTTGCTGCTGCTGAGATTTGTGAACAGCTCCACGTGCGGCCAGCAGTATGACTGGCGTCTTCTTGCCAATTGTTGTCTTTATGCCATTGCTGCTGCTGCTAACGTTGTTATTGTTGTTGTTGCTGTTGGCAGCACTGCTGCTGTTGCTGCCGCTGCTGTTGTTGCTGTTGTTGTTGATAATGGTACCGCTGCTGCTGCTGATGTTGTTAGAGTTTGGAATGAGAGATGAGACAGCATTGGGATTATTAGTGTGTTTGTTGTGCACTTGCAAGTCGCGTCTGCTTTTCGAATTGCTACGATTATGTGTTACAAAGTCAGCGAATTTGTCGACGAAGCTGACAGAGGCGCTACGATTGCTGTTGCTGCTGCTGCTTTGAAAGCAACTGTTGCTGTTGCTGCTGCTGTTACTCTTGCCATTGCTGCTGCCGGCGGTAAGGCGAGCGCGAGAATTGGCCTGCTGTACGACAATATCTTCGTAATAGATTCGATTCGCTTCGTGCTGGCGACGTGGCCGATCATTGTTGTTGTTGTGGTTGTTGTGCATGTTGTTCTGAATGTTGTTGTTGCGTGGTGTGTATGGCTGCTTGAACTGCGCATTATTGTTGTTTATGTTGTTGTTGTTGTTCTTGTATGCTTGTTGTTGTTTAAAAGAACCTGTGGTTGTTGTATGGTGATGGTGGTGGTGGTTGACGCATGTTGTTGTTGTTGTTGTATTTATGTATTTTTGTGTGCAAATCATAAAAATATGACATTAAAACAACACAAGACATGAACACAACGGGCGAACCGAAAAGTTGTTGAGGAAAATGAAGAAAAAGAAAAAAACATTTGGTTGAATAAAAAATTTGATTAACATTTTGTATAATTTTGATATTCTCATTAATTTAAGGCTTTTGCTTAGTTACTGGGTTAGTAAATCATAATTCATGTATATATGTGTTTGTGTGTGTGTGTGTAGGTGGTTAAATGAGTTATGTACATGATATGGAAAGATGGTGCTGTGAGCTTTAAAAAATCCAATTGGACCAATTAATGTTTAAAACGAATTAAAAAGGGATGCAAATAAAAATTGATTAATTCGTTGCTGCTTAACGACACACACTGCAATGACATTCAAACTGATCAACGTATCGTTGCCTGCATTTAAACTAATTCCGATATATAAGAACGAAAATATATTACTATCGATCTATCGATAAAAAGCTTAATAAGCAAAATGTTAGCGTTAACAGAAATTATAAAATCGTTTATATAACTGATAACTAAATGTAAAGCAGACTCTTCTCAAACCTAAAAATATATTCAAACCAAAATATTATTATTTTAAAAATTTATAGTCATACTAAATTATGATCCCCATTGATTTTTTTTTCGCAAATATTCTAATTGAAGAGATTATGCCCTGCCTGACACTGCAAAAAATAAAACCAAGAAATTGCCTAGCATTGAAATAAGGAACAGAGTGCTCTGAATGTGTGTTAACAGGGAACGGATAAAGGGTAAAGGATAATTGGTTCATGGATTGTTATGAATGCGCTTATACAACAATTGGTTAAAAACAAACAAATAAAAACAAAATAATCAAACCAAATATTAACAATAAATAAAAAGCGAATTGAAAAAGTACACATACCTTGCACTTAAAATGTCCAATTTTATATTTATAAACATATGTATATACATTTATGTTATGATTTAGTTTTGATTTAATGTGAGGGTGTGGGAAGGGCGTCCATTGTAAGCCAAATGCAAATGAAATGTTTTATGGAGTGCGCAAAAATGAATGAAATGTGTGAAGTTTTCTGTTGTCGTATGCACACACACACACACACACACCCACACACCCACATACAAGCACAGACACTCGCTCACACGCGATCAAGCAGTGTTGTATAAGTTGAATGTATGCGAGTTCATCCTTGCTCAGTGTGTTCAGTGTTGCAAAATGTGTGTGTTAAATGAGTATTATGAGTAAGCGTTTCGATTTATAACATGTTTATGCATTTAATAATTTCTTTTTCTTTTTATATTTGCATTGTAAATGGCTTCCATTTGCGTTGCTATTCAATTTTTTAAATTTTTATTTAGTATTATCATTTTATTTATTTATTTATTTATTTTATTTATTTATTTTTTTTTGGTACTTTGGCTGCAGTTGTCGGTTTTATATATTTCGCGGTCGTGTTGCTTTATCAGAGCGCTAGAAGCACGGCTTCTGATATATCGTAGCTATAGTTTCATTTATATTTTATAGACGAGTTTTGTTTATCGTTTGATTGATTGATTGATTGGTCGGTTGGTGGGTTGGTTTTGTGTACATAAAATAAAACAAGAGAAAAGAAAGAAAAAAAAAGAACAAAATCGCATTGAACACATTGTAATTAAAATCATCGGCGGAAGTGAAAATATTAAAATAACAAACAGATAATTCCTATGTACAATAAATTCTTCAAAATATGTGAGTTGTATTTCTTTATCGTATATGGTAAAATGTTAATTTTAAAAGTTTCAGATTTAGAGCACTGATTAGATTAGAGTAAAGTAACCGACAGCAAAAATAAAGCTGAATTGAAAGATTTGATGTATTAAGTTTGCGCGATAGAAATACGATATAAATAAATGCACAAATTTAAATAAAAAACTATAACTAAACTAAGTTAAGCAACATTGTTACATACTCAGAAATAATATTATAATATCAATATATTGAATTGAAAATACTTAAATACACATACTTAAAGAAAAGCTACATGAAAATGGACTAAAAATTAAAAATAAATCTTGTTAATGCGCAATTACGTTGTATTTCAATTCGCAACTCAAATCGAAAATGCGATTTTTATTTGAAAGTAGTGTGCGTGTGTGTTTTTAGTAGAGGTCGCGACGTTGCCCAAAACTAGTCGAAAACATAAGTGAAACGAAACGGAATTCAACGCAACGTAACGGTACAGCGACAGCAAATACGCAGCGCCGCCGTCGACTACGCAAGGGAACTGATAAAGAGAGTGTGAGAGACAGACAGCAATAGACAGAAAGAGAAATAGAGAGAGATAGCGAGTAAATCAAACGAGAACGCGTTACACTAAAAAAATTACTTAAATTGTAGCGAGTAGCATAGATTCATTTAAATAGTCATAATTATATATATGTACATATATGTATATATTGTACATACATATATATTATGTGTGTATGTATATAAATAGAAAGAGACAGATAAAAAAGAGAGAGAGAGAGAGAGAGAGAGAGAGGGGAAAAAGAGCTATTTGAGTGTGTTTACCTAATTTCTTTGGTTTCCAGCAGCGACGAGGTATTCACATCGTTCACCGCATTTATCATCGATGTGGGCGAGAAGGGCAGGTGGTACATGGAGGAGGCATCCAGCGTATAGGCGTCGCTGCTCTTTATCAGCAGCTCGTTCTTTAGCTCCATAAACTGTTGGTGCGGATTGTGGCTGAACTGGTGCTGCTGCAGCAGCTGATGCTGCTGTTGTTGCTGCTGTTGCTGCTGCTGCTGCTGGTGATGTTGCTGCGCATCTAGCGCATTCGCATTCAGCGTGGGCTGCGCGCTCGCGTGCGTGGTGAAGGTGTACTGAGGCGCGGCTGTGGCGCTCATCGTGTACGGACACAGATCGCCCAGCTCGCCGGTCTCCAGCTTGGGCTGAAAGCTCTGCAGGCCATCGGGCGTCAGTATCTGGTAGCTTTGCACTGTGCCGATGACATGTTGCTGTTGCTGCTGCTGCTGATCGCTGGGCAGCGTCGGCGTAGCCGCCGCCGAGCTGAGGTAGGTCACGTTGTCCAGCTCGTAGTGCGTGGGCTGCGTCTGCGCCTGGCTGCTGCTCACCTGCTGCTGTTGCTGCTGCTGCTGCTGCTGCTGTTGTAGTTGCTGCTGAGTTGTCGTTTGGTACGTTGCTGTTGTCGCCCGCTGCTGCGGCGCTGCTGCCGTTGTGTAAATAGTCTGCGTGCCGTCCAGCTGCAGCGGCACCAGATTGCCCGCCTGATCCTGGATCATGATGCTCTGTCCATGCAGTTGCTGCTGCAGCAGTGCCTGCTGCAACTCCAGCTGATTCGAGTAGATCAATGTTGTCGTCGTCGGCTGTGCACTCTGTGTGGGCGTGGCCTGGCCACGTTGCAGCGTCATGGAGCTGCTTGCGCCGGGATTGGCCAGCGCCAGCTGTGCACCGCCTGGCAGTATCATGCCGCTAAAGTCGAGCGAGGGCAACGTTTGCAGCTGCTGTTGCTGCTGAGGTGCAGCTGCTGCCGTTTGTTGTTGTTGTTGCAGTTGCTGCTGCTGTTGTTGCTGTTGCTGCTGCTGCTGCTGTTGTTGTTGTTGTTGCTGTTGTTGTTGCTGTTGCTGCTGTTGCTGCTGCTGTTCCGCCTCGGCATTCTGCACCTCATCCAGCACGCTGTCAATCTGCGCCAAACGCTTTTTGGTTGGCGTGCTGCTGGGCGTGGCCGCATCACCCGACTTCAGTTTGCGCACGCGCGGCGTTCTGGAGGTGCGGGCCCGTTTCGCAGCTGGCGTGCCTGTCGCCTCCGCCTTCTGCGGCGTACTAGCAGCAGAGCTGGGAGGCATGGGCACGTCCCCGTGCTTATCCTTTTTGTGCATCTTCATTTTGTCCGGCCGCGAGAACTCTTTGTTGCAGATGGGGCACGCGAAGATCTTGCGATTCTGGCCCTCGTGGAAGAGGTACGCGTGCCGCTGGAAGCTGTACTTGTTCTTGAACGTCTTGAAGATGTCGTTCTTCGCACAGACTAGGCAGTAGGCCACCCCATCGATGATGTGCTCGTAGCGCGCTATGTCCAAGCCACGCACACTCATCTTCTCCAGGTACTCGCCCTGCTCGTCCTCCGCTATGACTCGCGTTTTGCGTTTGCGCTTCTGTTTGGCTGCCGCCGCTTTGGAGAGCATGCCAGGCATGGCATCATTGATGCCGTGTTGCGATTGCTGTTGCTGCTGCTGGAGTTGCTGCTGTTGCTGTTGTTGTTGCTGCTGCTGCTGGTGTTGGTCGTCGGGGCCACTGATTGTGTAGCTAGTGGTGCCAGCCGCCTGTTCGGCTGCTTCGGCCTCCACCTCGGCCTTGATTACTTGGTATTCCTCAAAGTCGTGATCGTGCTCCATGCTCTGCTCCTCGTACTTCACTTGCAGGCCGCTCTCCTCGTCCTCCTCCAGCATCTCCTCATCCTCGCCCACATGCTGCGGTTCGTACTTGATGATGTCCGCGGCGACGGCGCTGCTGCCGTTGCTCAGGCAATCGCTGCTCCCGTTCTCGCTCTTCAGCACATGGTACTCCTCGTAGGTGCTGCCATCGAACTCGATGATCGTGCCATCCGTGTTGACTAGCGCCGTGGTCGTTGTTGTTGTCGCTGCGCCAGCACCACCTGCGCCCGCACCTGCTCCTGCACCACCAGAGCCATCTACGCTGCTAACGATGGGCGTCGCTGCGGCGGCGCTAACCGCCGTCGTGGGCATGCCACCGTTATAGTTCTCAAAGACTATCGTCGTGGGCGTCTGGCCATCCTCTCCCGTTGTGGTTATATAGTGATATTGTGGTTGCTGTTGTTGCTGCTGCTGTTGCTGCTGTTCCGTGGCTCCATTCGTGGTGGCGTTCGTGTGCAGGATGGAGGACGAACTAATAGTTGTGACCACATTGTCTTTTGTTTATATTGATTGAAAGTACATATTCGGTTTGGTTCATATAAAAGATGTGTTTCAATGTAATATTTGCATAAATAATCAATAAATCAATTCGAAAAATCGAAATCGAAATCGTGATCGTAATCGTAATCGAAATCGAAATCAACAATTCACTCAAAAATCAAATACGGAAATCAAATGTTGTGCAAAATGATAGCTACAAATCATCATCGAACAACAAACAGCTCTTCAAATGGGGCGGCACATCGCATTGGATATGGATATATCACCCAGATAGCTGTATACACTACTTACGAAAAGAAGTGAGTGAATTGGATTCTATATTCATACTTCGTTTGTCGCTTCAATTTGTGTTTACTTAATTTCTACAAATTATATAAGTATACGTGTTTCATACAATCATACAAACGTTAACTAAATCAATTTTAATGTCAACCAAATCTCTAAGAATAGTTGTTCAAAAATAAAAAACTAATTCAACAATTACGTGTGTTTATTCCAATTCGACATTGGCCACACTTAATTGTAGTAACTAAGAATAAAACAAAATAATACTAAAAAATACCTGAGTGCAAAATACTTACAAATAATAATTGAACTCAAATAAACTACGCGCTATGCTCACAATGGAGTTGAGTACACAAATATCGATGGGCAGCACTTTGCGAGCACTGCGGCGTGGAACAGCTTCCAAAGCAAATGGGCAGCACTTTTCAACATTATAAAACGTTAGAAATTTCAATTCGCAAATTAAGCTGCATATTTAAGCTTTTTTTTCCATAAAACAAATAAATTTAAATAAATGATTTAATAAACTACATGGGTTTGAAATAAAAATGGAATCCTCTAATAACTTTTTCAAAATTTAAAATTATTTATTTCATAATTGAAACATTAATCTAGTGTGCTTTCATATTTAGCATCGACTCCATTGTGAGCAGTAGTAAAAAAAAAAAAACTTAAGAGCTAAACTAAAAATGTCTAAATAAACTGAAAAATATATACGCTAATTTAATAAAAGAGAAATAAAAATAAAAAATAAAAAGTTTTGAGCCTTTTGTCAAATGCGCTTTGCTATATTATTAGTTATATTCATAAACATTCGTTATAAATATATTTAATATATATGTGTATGTCGGGGCCTAATTTGTGCATTTAAATATATGATATATATTTTCCTTTACAGTTATTCGATATCTGTTTTGCATTATAAATATAAAACAGAAATGAGACACTACGAACAAATACGCTCAGAGAAAAGTTTGAAATTTATGGGTAAAAAGGTGTGGAAAGTGTAAGAGAACTGAAAAGCGGTTTGTTATTTGTTTTTAGGATGCATTTCCTCTTTCTTTTTCTGTTTCATTTAATTTACGTTTTTTCTTTATTTTATTAAATTTCAGTTTATGTATAAAAAGAACGCAAATGGAGGACCAACACATTTAATTGAATGATAATGGAAATTTGTATTGTTTTCTTCTTCTTGTTCTTTTGAATATCACAATTTGTTTTCTGTTAGCTGCAGTTTGATTTTTGGCACAAAAACAATAATACTTTGAAAATTAAGAAAATAAATCAAGAGTTCATTTCTACAGAGTTTCAATGAGTTGCATGATGGATGTACAGAATAGATATATATACACATATATAGATGGTATTAAATAATACTGGTTGCCAATTAGTATGGTTAGAGTAATCAAAAACATAAAGAGTTAGTAAATTAGGCTGATAAATGAAAAACAAAAAAACCAAAGAGTCGAGCACACAAAATGTAAGCAAAACAAACTACGCAAAACGACAAACGCAATTGGTAAGGATTTTCTTTACGGTTTCGTTTAAAGAGTTACAAATATTGGCAGAAAGAAATTGTTACTTACCGGCAACGCTGGTTGCAACATGTTGCTGCGGACTGCTATTGCTGCTCGCCACGGCAGCGGCAGTTGTGTGATATGTGGCCGCTGCTGCGCTTGTCGCCTGTCCATTCGCATCACAGAGAATTTCATTTTGCAGCTGATAGACATTGCCATCTGTGCTGGTATATTGCTGCTGCTGCTGCTGGTGCTGCTGCTGTGGAATGCCGTTCAGTGTGTTGGCTGCGGGCAACATGTTGGTGCTGGTAATTTTCTGTTGCTGTTGTTGACTAGATGATGTTGCTGTTGTCGCTTGCTGCTGTTGCTGCTGCTGCTGCTGCTGCTGCTGCTGTTGACTTAGTTTTGGTATTTTGCCCTCGAATTTACGCGACTGTTGCATGAATTGCAACTGTTGCTGCTGCTGCTGTTGTTGTTGTTGCTGCTGCTGCTGTGATTGCTCGTTGAGCCCGCGTTTGGCATCTGTAAAAATGCGTTCGAAATTGTTATTACAAGAGCATTAAGGAGATTTTTGTTTGTTTGTGACGTTGGATGTTGGTTTGGATGTGGTTGTTATATGTTGGCAGTTAAGCGTTTGGGGTTGTGAAGCGAAACACACACACGCACACACATGTTATATACATATACACACACACATATATATATATATATATATAGCCATATATACATACATATGTAGCAAAAGCGAGCGAAGCTGCATCGGAAACAAATCGAAACTGAAGCTGAAGCCGAAACTGAAGCCCAACCAGAAGTTGAGCTGCGAGTAGAGCCCATGCATAGAATGTCCTTTTTAGTAAAACAGTTTTGGTTTTTGGTTAGTTTTTAGCATAAAGTTTCCTTTATATATATATATTTATATATATATGAATAGAGTGCTCTCATATATTTCTCAGGCGCTTACAAATTAGGACACAACTTTGACGACTTATGTTTTAGCAAGAATTTCTAATTTCAAAACAATTGTACAAATACAGTAAAAGCAAAACACAAATAGGAGACGAGAAACTAAAACGACGACGATGACGGCAATGAATTTAAAAAGGAAAATAAAAAAAAAGAATCGCTGACAAAAGCGGCTGTGAATGGGAGATCGATCGGATTAAAATGTTAGTCAATGGTTATTTTGTTGTTGATTGGATTATGGATAGCTGGATGTTGCCGATGATGATGGTGATTGTGGTTCTTATGTGACTATGCTTGTTGTAGTTGTAGTTGTTGTTGTGACTGTGGCGTTGCAGAGGCTGTTGCTGCTGCTGATGTTGCTACTGTTGCTGCTGCTGCTGCTGCAGTTGCTGTTGCTGATCAAATTGTTGCTGCTGTTGCGCTCACCTGCGCCAACACTGCTGCCGCTGCCGCTGCTGCTGCTGCTGCTTCTCTCAATGGCTGCTGCAACTGTTGCTGCTGCACTGTCTGTTGTTGTTGATGCACTGCTGCTGCTGCTGCTGCTGCTGCTGGCAGTCGCCTCCTTTTTTCGCTTCGTGGGCGTTTTGCGTGGTGTGGAGTTCGCTTTGGCGCGCGCTCCACCCCCGCGTGCCCCTCTTGAGGTGGAGGATGTGGAGGACGCTGGCGATATGGAGCGATCGTCCTTATTGGCGCGCGGACTACGACCTCGACTGCTGTTGCGCGAGTTATTCCGACGCTTGCTCGTCAGCCAATCATCGTCGTAGTCTGCGTCGTATCTACGCTTCTGCTTGCGCCGCTTAAAGTCCTCCTCCTCGTCGTCGTCCTCTGCAAAGATTAGTGGAGAACAAAAGAGCAAAACAGAAAAGTATTGATTATTGGGCTGATCTTGAGGTTGTCTGTCTTTGTGCTTACCAGTGCCATCGTCCATGTACTCCAGCAGCTCCTGCTTGGTCTTGAAGTCAGCAGGACTCTGCAGGCTCATTGTATCCTCGGGCGTGTACTCGGTTTCCTCCTCATTGAGCGTAAGCACGCTCTCTTTCAACATGGCTTTTACGTCGTCGGGCACATTCGGATTCTGTTGGATTTCATCCAGATCCAGATCAGGATTGCGCTCCTTGAAACTCTTCGCCTTGGTGGGATTGCATTGCTTCTTCATTCTGTGGTTAATGGGGAATTGTTATTATTGAAAACTAGCTCTAGGTGCTCGGTAGCAACCCACTTTTTATCACACAGAAGCACATCGAGGTGCGGTGGCAGCGGCGCAGCAGTTGGCACCACATTGGGCGGATCCTCTGGATGACGGCCGAGGTCGCGCCCCTCCAACCACGCATCGTATCGCTCGCTCTGGAAACGCTTGACAAATGTGTCCATGGAGATTTTGACCATGTCATTGCTGCAGGTACATTGCGTTGCACGCTTGCCGTACTCAATCCAGCGTTCCATGGCAAAGTTTGTGGATTCGGCGCAGTTGAAGCCATGATTGAAGCCGGCATGATAGCCGAAAGGAAACGTGATCATAATCTCACCCGATTCCTGGGTTATCTGTGTGTGGTAAAATATTGAGTACTTGGGACCTTACAGTTTCGTCAGTTTTGGGTTCGAACTGGCCTATATTTCTCAATTCTAGAACTGCTTTCTTCCTCGTTAGCTAATCAGACAGATTCGCGTTTCTCGAGCTATTGCATTAGTTTTGTAATCATTTGTAATCATTTGTAATCAAGTCTCGTTTACAGAACTGTATTCCGTAAATCCATATAGGAGCGATATATAATAAATTTGTTTCGATAATCAATGATTACGCAATACTTTGTTCCATAATTAAAGATTATTTAGAAGTGTACAAGGTTTCCAAAACCAAAGATAGTCGAGTATCTTTTGTTTCATAGGAGTATCAAGAAATTTTTGACTTTTCAAGAAGTTTCCTGAACCTTCACACTTAGTTATTTTAACCAAAGTATCTACTACTAACTTGCATCTAACCAAATGGAGAGATAATTCAAATTCTGTGAAGAAAACACTATAAGAAGGGGATCCATTCATAACATGGATCCATAATATGGCCAGTTCGAATTTCTGTCTTTTAGGTATTTCGAGAATCAATGGGAAATCCATATTGATTTTACCTTGCTAACTGGTACATTGTGCTGCTTAAGTATCTGCGGCGATATCAGCGTCATTTTATGTCGCAAATACGCATTGCAGTTCTTATAGCTGGCCGGGAAATACTGATTGGCGACCTTCTCCAGGCGCCTGCCATACTCGGGCGGCACCACGTACCACGTTTTGGGCGCACCGAAGTGCAGATAGTTGATCGAATACAAGTCCATGTCCTCGGTGTGCCAGGCGAATGTCGTTTTCCACATGCCAAAGTACAGGTAGGCAGTGTTGACGCCATCAATTTGTATATTATAGTCCTTGTTGACAAAGTCCAAAATGCTGCCCAGGCGATTTATGTTCCAGCTCTGTGAGAAATTGTGGAGGCATGAGAAAAATGACTCTCTGTTGGGTCCACCTAACACTTACATCCTGGTCAGAGTCTGTGATGCTGCCGCTAACATCGGCCCCATAAATGGGAGCCACGTAGGTTATATTCTTCCAATATTTACGCTCCAGATCTTCGAAATCAAAGTGCTTCGGTGTGGCATACCGTTCGGTGCTGGCCAGTTCGCTGAATTGCTTAACCGTCAGCGGTTTCTTTTGTATATTGATCTGTTGATAATATCCCTGTTTTCCGGTAACCACCTGGCAAATGGGCGCAGGAATCGTCACATTCAAGGCGTCCAAGTCCGCATAGCCACTGCGACGAGGTACCCACTCAGCGGGTGGCACCACCTTGGCCAGGCCTGCTTTGTGGGCGCCCTGTGACTCCATATAGGCTATGTATTTGGGGAAGTCCTTGAACTCCTCCCAGGTGGGACGGAATACCATAATGCGCGGTATATCGGACATTGTTTAGTTTTGCTTTCAATTATTTCTGGGTATATCTTACTTAACGCGATCTGTAACTGTTAGAGAAATATATATATATAGAGAGAGAGAGGGACAGATAGAGAAGCAGAGAGCTGCCTCTGCTGTCTGCATTAATCCAGCGCAGATGCCAAAGACTTGACATGAATGCGTGCGTGCCCTGCCTCCTGCTCATGTTGCCGTTGTAGTAGTAGTAGTTGTTGTTGTTGCTAAGCAAACAGGAACAGCTGCAACTTCATTTCATTTCATTTTCGAGCGCCCTTTTTCAATGGGACAGCCAGTAACGACAACAACAATAACAACAGCCACAGCAGCAGCAGGCAGCCAGCCAGCCAGGCGGGCTAAACAGGCTTCGGAGAATGGCAGGATATGCAGCCCGTCAGCCCGTCGGCTCGTCAGCCAGTTTTTATGGTCTGCATTGAAGAGATGCATTGATCTCGTTCTCATATCTTGATTATCTTACAAACAAATTTCAACCCAAATATGATAATTTTGTAGTTTTTGAAGTCGGTTGTATTCAAATATTTCTGTTATAAGACTGAAAATTAATATTAATTATAAATAAATAATAGTTGGGAAAAATTTGTCAAAAGTTTGTGGGAAAAATCGTTAGATATAACAATTCTGAAAAGTTTTTATTGTTATAAATTAAAGCAATCAGTCGCTGCCTGCAGGCAGGGGGCTAAATATTTGACCGATTACATTTATAACATATATAAAAGATATATATTATTATAAGATCATTTGTTATTACACTATTGAAATTAGCTTTACTTTACCTAGAATATAACTTAGTTTTTATTAGTTTCACTAATGACTAGATATATATTCTAGTACTCATTATCATTATAAAATACTGATCCTTAAATGATAATACTAATAATAATAATAATACATAGTATCTGATCTTGCATAGTTCTTTTTACAAATATATATATATATATTTTTTTTATAAATACACCTGATCCTTAATCCAATAACACGCTGATCCACAAAATTTAAATATTTGATTTTTCCTTGTACAATAAATGTATTCTCTGAAATGTCTAATTAATTATTACTTCTATTCATAAATCAAATTTTCACCACATCTTTTGGTACGTAGAGAATATAATTAGACTTTATTCCGGTCCAAATACATTCAAAATGGTACGAATTCCCAATAAGTATACTACTTTGACTATTTTTATCATCACAATATCCCTTCTTTTTTCCTGCAATATTCATAGTGAATACATATTAATCCTTTTAAGGTCCTCCGAGCTGCGTTTTCTGGGTTAATGTAATACATACACGAGCATATTATATGTATCTATGAACAGCTTAAACTCTATAATTGCAAACACAAATACAGTTATACAGTCGTAGAAATGAATTTGTTAGATAAGCAAGTTGAATTCCAAGTTTTGGCTGTGCCATAATCGGCAGCTGCATACATAAGAAACTCCAAAGGACACCAATTAAAATGGCGCAGAACAAAATAACGAAATGGCGAACAAAATAAATGAGGATACACCGACCGAGAAGTACGCCCAATTGGAATAGGAATATGGAAATTCACAGAAACCAAAGTACAAACCTCTTTGTGACATGCGAAATGTACAATGTTTATTGGCAGCCAAAAACAAATTGATGAATAAACAAATTTAAAGAACGAACAGCAACAAGGACGACAGCGACAGTGACGACGAGCACAGCGCCGTGCGAGACATGCAAGCAAACTACATGGATGAAAATTTACGCAATTTTGGGTCTACGCAGAAAACTGTACCACCACCCGATGAGACGACTACGGCGAGGACGAAAACAACGAGGACAATGAAGAGAACCTAAGCGACGAGTGCGCGCTGTGTGCGCAAGCGAGAGAACATGCTGTCAGCGCGAAGGGGCGAGTAGCAAAGTAGCGAGTCACATATGCACAGAGAGAAAGAGAGAGCAACTGCCATATACATATGTATTTGTGTGTGTGTGCATGTATGTGTATAGGTGTGTGTGTGTGTGTGTGCCATTTGGGTATATATGTATGTAAGTAATATGCATTGTGTATATGTATGGGAAAAGTGTATGAAAAATTTAAAACTCACTTGTGTGTGCGCTTCGGTTGAGTTTTAATTCAAATGCAGCCTCCCGCTCGTACTCTTGTTTTTGATATCTCTCCTTCTCGCTCACTCTAGAGTAATCCCACTACGTTTATTTGTTGGTTGAATTAAGTCTGTTTCTGCAGTTTATTGCACATTTTGCTTTTGTTGTATTTTTGGCTTTACTGGAACAGAACGAATTTTTCTTTTCTTTTCATCTGCTTCTGCTTCTGTTTTGTCACTCCTTTTGTGTGCTACACATTTCTTTCTGCTTGCTTTTTGTTGCTTACGTTCAGGCGCTCTCTTTTGCAAATTACGCCCGCTCTCACACACACTCGCTCTCTTCTATTCTTTTTTCCTTGCGGCTGGCACTCGCTTGATTTTGCACAATTGCACAATTTGTTGTTGTTTATTTAACGCGGAGTTATTTGCGAGCTTTGAACTGTAACTTTTAACTGTATACGACAAAGTTGGCCTGCAACATTTGGCGACTGTCTGCGCTTTTATTTTACTTATTCGTTTCGTTTCTTTTCTTCTTTTTTTTTATTATTTGTTGGAAACTGCCGGCTGAGGCAGAGTTCTCAATATAGTATTAAGATTTTGCTGCTGTTGTTACAATGATGTATGTATGTTTGTATATGTACATGTATTTATATTCTATGTATATAGATATTATGAACTGCTGCTTTAAACACACACACGGCAACGGGCGCGGATCAGCAACATGTTCTGAGCTGTCGGAGCGGCGAGCGTAAACTGAAACCAAGACGTGCCTGGCGAGGACGAAACAGCGCAGCCAAACGCCAGCGACAGCGACGCCGACTGCGGCAGCACACACACACAGAAGCAGGCGAACGGCCAGACACAGACATAGAGCGTTGTCCTTTTAATGCGAACGACGGTAGTAAAGCGTAATGTGCAAGGAAAACCAAGAGCGAACGCTCACAATAACGAGAGCAAAAACAAGTTTGACAGGATAATGGTTGATATACAAACATAAAAATAGGTGTGTGTGTGCGTGTGTCGGTGTCTGTGTGCGGAAAATGCAGAGGAAAAACGGCAGTTGGTTCGTGGCAAACAATAGATTTTTGCGCAGCAAATGTTTTCTGAATTATTGGCAAAAACGAGCTGCAGCGAATGCTTCACAAAAGCAACCAAATTTTCTATGCTTCGTACACTCTCTCCCTCTCTGTCTCTCTATCCCTTTCTCTTTCTCACTCACGCTTCTACCGCTAAGTCTGTAGACTATGTAGCAGTTAAACTGCGCCGGGCTTACACATAATTACGCTTTGTATTAGTCCGCGATTTACAGAGCTCTCTACATTGATCTGGGTAGGGGATCTGATGTATCGATTCCTTCAATCTATGGTAATCTACATATTTTCAGCTGGTTCTTGAACTCTTTCCGGGAAAATCTAAATAGTTTACATGCTACATGTTAAATGTAAAGCGTCGATCAAAAGGGTCTCAATATCGTATGATCGTCTCATTTGCAGCTTTAAATTGGCGTGCGATGTCTTTTCTTGACAGATTTATAAATTTAATTTGTTATATCATTTTTATACTACAATATAATGTGTTTAAAGTTCTTTGGTAGAAAGAACACAGAATAAATGACTTATCTTAGGTAAAGGGGAATTATTGGTAAGAAACCCAGAATTGAAGGAATATGATATCAATTATAATAATTATACCTTTTACACGTCAAAAATAAAAGATAAAAGAAATAGATCTGCAGAACAAACAGTCTTAACGAGCTTTGAGACAGTGAAATTTAAATTTAAGTTAACCACAAAATTAACTCGATGCTATGATCTCGCAATACAGCCGGAGGTAATTGAAAGGTTTACTTTGTGTGTATTTTTAAAATTCGCCTGCCAAACTGCTCTTACAAGAGCCTGGTAGCCCCACAATATGTTCTACCTACAAAAGAGGAATACAATTAACGAGGAGAAAAAACCTCTAAGTACAGAATTTAAGCAGCCGCAGCGCAAAACGAAAAAGCGAAACCAAACTAATTACAAGAAGAAAGAAAACGAAAACGAAACGTTGCACAAGGAAAATAATTTACAACATGTCATTAGCTGGGCAACGCCTATGCTCTGTGCCATGGGTGATGGCTAGAAGGAAGTGAGGAAGAGGAAGCGAAATAGAAAGAGGAATGAACAGCAGCAGCAAAGCCAACGACAGGATCAAAGCGTGACGCGAAAGGCCGTACGCGCAAGAACTGAACAACACAGATGTATTGAGGCAAAGGAGCTGAAGTGCATTTCGTATGGGGAGCCGGATCCTGCGCGCTGTTAAACTCACAAACTTGTTTTTTACAAACGCAGCTCAAGCGTGGCATCGAGTAAAAGAGAGAGACAGAGGCTGGGAGGGGGAGAATGAGAGAGACAGCAAGACCGAGAGCGACAGAGCGTCGCAGCGAGCTTGAGCAAAAGCGACGAGAATGACCAAACGGCGGCGTCAACTTCCGGCAGGACAAGAGCAGACACACATACATACACACATATGCACACACACGTTGTGTACACAATGTGGTCATTGACTGAACGGTAAAAAGCGAAAACAGGAACCAAACAGCAGCAGCTAAAGCAACAACAACAACAGCGAACTGACTGGCGATGACGTCGTCCTGCGGTCGCTGTTGACGTCGCGTCGGCTGAAGCGAAAGCGTGTAGAGAACACAATAATGCGCGTCCCCTATTCACTATAGCGTGTGCTTCTATATATGTGTATGTGTGCGTATATGTATATGCTCGTGTGTGCGCCTGTGTGTGCGTGTCTCGTGATTCACACAGCATATTTTCTAATACAATTTCATTTTCTCGTAAAATTTCAATTCGCCAGCGGCCTCAGCTGCTGCGCCAGGAACAACAGCACCACCAACAACAACAAACGTTATTTATTATTCTAGCGCTGCGCTGTGCCCGTTTTATATCCTTTTGTGAGGCTTATAGCACACGCGTCATACAAAAAGCAAAGCGCGCGTCCCCTTTTTTTCAAGTTTCCCTTTTGTTATCTCAATTGCACAACTGTGTTGTTTTTTTCTTTTTTGATGTAGCATTTTTGGCTCGGTCCAATGCTTTGTTTTGCTTTGCATTTGCCGACTGTTCATTACATTTGGTACATATCCTTGGGATTTAGAGAAGGGATTCGGGTACCAGGAGCCGCTCGCTTTTACAGTTTACATTTTCTGGTGCTGTTCGTATTTAGTTATTGTTGTACTTGGATCGGTGGCCGCCATTGCTGTTGCTGTTGTTGCTGCTGTTGTTGTTCGCCAACAAATTGAAGCTTTCAATGCTCGCTGCGCTGTATCGTTCTTGCGCACTCGCAATTGCAATTTCTCTCTCTCTCTCTCTCTCGCACACTCGCAAATGCACAGAAATACATAGAACGCGCTCTCTCATAATATTTAATGGCTCACACTCTCTCAGCTGCCGCCTTTGCGCCCAGCTGCCGCCTCAATCTAATTAATTCTCTTTTGCGCTTGACGTTCCGTTTCGCCTTGTCCGCCATTGTTTGTGCCGTTTGATTTGCGCTGCTGCAAAATGTTTAGTCTGCGTCGCTGTCAGCGTTTTTGCTGTTGCTGTTTCTAATGCTTGCCTTTGTTGTTCTTCTGCTGTATTTTATTTTGTTGCTGCTGCTGCGCTTGTTCCTGTTCTACGCACGACGTCAACATTGCCGCCGACGCCACTTTCTTGCATTGATTTTGTTGGACAGCGGCGTCGCCATTTTGAAAGCGCAAAGCAAAAAACTTTTGTAGAGCAGAAGAATATAAGGCGACAAATGTAATAATTTGAAGCCAACGTCGCGCGTGTTTAAGTGCCTGGCCGACCGGAAAGCAGGAGCATTCGAGACAGCGCTTGGTTTTTTATGTTTTTACTTTTTCTTCCTCGGAAATGCTCCAATTACACCATTTTGAGAAAGGAGCTATCAATTTCACCCTACTTTAAGAGTGAAACACAAGATTAAATATATATATATATATATATATATATATATATATATATATATATATATATATATATATATATATATATATATATATATAGTACAATAATAGCAGATATTTAGGTATTCAGTAATATAATTATTATCAATTTTCAAAAACAACTTTAGGAAAAAGTTTCCTAATTATTCCTATCGAATATTTCAGCTTATAATTTAAAGGTTATGAGCAATTTATAAAATAACTAACATTGTATTTAAATGTTGTTTACTGTTTTTAGAAGATTTTTAAATTTCATGTTTAAGGTACTATTCATATGACAATTTTCAACATGAGTTAATTTAATGACAAATCTAAATATCTGACGTTTATTTAAGTAAACAAAGCATTTTTTTTTTTTTTTTAATTTTCAAATTTTGTCAACTTATATTGCAAACATATTTAATATTCTAGTTATTTTATTGCGAATATATTTCTATATGATGTTTTAAATATTTCACAAACAAATTTTACAAAAAAGTATGCTATACTATTAAAAGCTTTATTATTAAAGCTTTACAAATTTTAATTTTATTTCGATCATTTCAAGTAAATTGATCTTTTGAAACGATCTAAATAAAATTATTTAATTTGATTTAGATTAAAAAAAAAAAAATTGAAAATTTTATTCATCTAAATCTGATATAAAATATGTTTAAGTATTTAAATCTTAAAATTCCAAGAGTCTTGACAAAGGGCATGTTCTTTTGCCCAGCAACCCGTTTAAGACCAACCTGTACGACCTTCAACCCCTTCATATATATACATACTTATATGCAGGTTGGGTCAATGCCAATTTTATAACCCCAAAAAATACTAATTACCCTCAATCGGGCCACACACATACACACCAACAACAACCACTAACCAGGACGGACCTGTTGAGCTGGCCACAAGTTTTAGGGGGTTGTCTATACTATATATGAGGGTACACCTGCGATTAGGTCGGGAAATCTATGCCAACAAACACCACCTAGAATAGAGAACCACCCAGAGACAGTCAAAACAAACAATACAATATATACATATATATAGCAAAAGAGAGAGCGGGGGTATGTTTATGTTATGCTTTATGAATGGGAGCGCGACTCTAACTACCACCAAGTCGCACTTTGTTTTGGTTTCTGTTGTTTTTTTTTTTTTTTTTTTTTTTTTTGGGAAAACTCCTAAAAGTGACGAAGACGTTGTGTGGATGAGGCTGATGACATGCCGGCACATGCCAATGAACTGCAAGGTGGGAAATACGCTGCTCTTGACAGTGGTGGTGGCGGTGTCGGCGGTGGTGGTTCGGTTAAGCACATGACCAAGAGCGGAACACAGCAGAGCACATGGTTTTTCCGTGGTGGTCGGTCGGTCGGTGCCTTATATTTGACTTGGTGGTTGCTGCCGGCTTACTCCCTGACGGTTGGGCTGATTGGGGGGTTTTTGTACCCGGTGTCAAACGTCCTTGCACCTACAAAGGCCGTGGACGCCTTACACTGTCTGCAGTGTGCGTTGTTGTTGTGAGCGGAACCACCCCATGCGCCATGTGGCCCAGAGCCAGTGCGCCAAAGTAGGTCGTGGACATGGTCGCATTGCCGGTGGTTGCTCTGCCGTTAACTCTACACACTGCACAGCAAAGCAGAACTCAGCTCAGCTCAGCTCTGCTCTGCAGGGTTCAGTGGTGGTTCCAAAAATATATCTATATATACATATATGTGTGTTGGCCCAGACTTGTCTAAGGGTTACATTTTGTTTATAAACATTGCACAAAACAGCTGATTTTTGGCAACATCCCCCATCAAGCGTCGTGGTATGCGTGTAGGGTCGGTCACGACCAGAGCCAACCGGGCCAACACTCTGACCAGCTGACGAGCCCGGCAGAGGCTCGACTCAGTATGGCCAACTCGTGCAGGCCAACCAACACCTGCACTTCAAGTGCTTAGTCCAGACCTCAGAGGCAACAGCAGCAGCAGCTGCTTGACCCGAACCAAGCCTGGCGGACTGAATGACTGCGTTGCCATCTGTCGCCACGCAAAGGTACGAAGGATAATAAATGCTTTGAACGCCGGCTGCAACAAACTACCTCTGCCTCTGCCTCTGCCTCTGCCTCTGCCTCTGACTGACTGCCTGCTTCGGGCAGCTGCCCGCTGTTGCATTGATTGCGACTATAGGGAACATCTGTTTTCAAATGGGAGTTCCCCTAAAAACTAGATACGACAACTGCAACAGCAACTGCGGCTACGACTGCGACTGCAACTGCTCCTGCAACTGCTATGGCATGCGCCATGACCCAAAGCAGAGGACTGCCCTACACAATGCACAATGCAGAAGGCAGCATCTGCAGCAGTTGCTGATGCATTTCCATCTACAGTTGATATTTCAACTTGGCAGCTGATGGACGTCGCTCGATTGATTAGCTGCGGTTGCTGCTCAGAATACACACATGTGTCTGTGTGTGTGAGAGAGTGTGTGTGTCTGCATTGAAATAGTTGAGCGATTTGTGAGCACTGTCACAATCTAGCTTCAATTGATTAATTGTAATAATTTACGTAGTCGCATTAATAATAATTAGGCGGGGAGATGCATAGTGACATAAGTTAAATATGGTTTAGGTTTAGCTGATAAGCTTTGGTGTTTTATGTGTCCATAATAATTTGGGTTTGAATTGAAACAGGATCACTAGATGAAAAGTTTAGATGTGTGCATTTTAATTGAATTTGGTAGTGAAAAAACAAAAAAATAAAATAAAAATAAAGAAATAAATAAATCAAGACAAATTTGAGCTTTACATTCGATATTACAGTTTTATTTTACCGGACTCAAACCATACGAAGTTAATAATAGGCAGCTCGATTTCAATAAACAATTTATTAACTTTTTATAAAGCTGTAAAAACAGCAAATGCTTAACCAATTGTCAACAATAAACAAACACACAACACACATTGTGATCTAATACTGTATTGAACGGAGAATAACGAAGAACAGGCTATTGAACAGACTATCCAATATTGTAAAGATATAAAACTTGTTTTTCACATTAACAGCAGTTATGCATACTCGATTCCTTATAATCGCAGCTGCTTGACTTTGAATATTTATTTGGATTTGGGTGTCCAGAAAGTACAAATGGATTCGAAGCGTAACGTTTCCACCAACAAAATTGTATATGCTGGTTAGGCAACATTAGCAGCTGTCCGAGCTGCATCACCTGCATGTGCCCCCCAGTAAAAAGGAGCTCGCTTTTCAGTCCCACCAGCCAGTCAGCCAGACAGCCAGCATATGGATATCAGAGATAACAAGGTACAGCAATGTTTGAAAACCAGATACGCTCCAGACGCAGCTTTTCGAGCAACTGTAATTCAATACGTGCACAGGGGCACGATCGCCCCAATTGAGCAAGGAATAGGACCCAAACAAAAAATTTAAAAATATGGAAGGAAAAAGTTTCGTATTGCATTCCCAACTTGTTTTCGGAAAAACCGGTAGCTCACACACGGGGTGAGCGATAGATGGGGACAAGAGGTTGCCGGGCGTGGCCAGGACAAGGTATTCAAATCGAAGCGATCGATCTACAGAGATTACATACAAGTTGTCTGGCAAAAAATAAAAGAAAAGGAAAGAAAAGAAATGAAAAAGATAACAGTTACAACATTTGAGATTTCCGTTTAGGAAGTGCAAAATGGAAGAAGAGACTGAGCAAAAGAATAAAAGACAAGGAGCGAACAGAGCTGAAGACAGAGAGAACAAAAATCACGCACATCCGAGGGACAAATCCTGTCGCAGCTGCGCGTGTGCATCCTGTGAAATGTTTGCGCAGGCGTACATTGAACTTTGCTTGGGTGTCCTGTTCCCAGCCCCTCTTTCTGTTTCCCTCTCTCTCTCTCTCTCTCTCTCTCTCTCTCTCTCTCTTTCTCTTCACTCTACTCTCTACTCGCTGTGTGCTGTCCTGTCTGCAGGTAGCCCACAGACACAGACATCTTGAGGACCCGAACTCGAACTCGAACTCTGGCTCAAGCTGCGAGAAGCAGATGTTTCTCTGGCGCTGTCTTTGTCGCAGGTCAGTTGTCGTCTGGGCTAGCCTGGACGTGAGCCTTTGTTTCATTATCCTGCGTCGTTGCCCTGCCTCGCTGCTTAAGGGTTGTCTACGCATGTCAATAACTTTTTTTTGCTTTTCAAACATTTGTTTGACGCTTTGTTTACACCGTGAGCCGAGGTGCGTTTGTTTGATTAGAAGAAGTCATTAACACCGCGATAGCTGAGCAGCTGTCGCCTTCAACATCAAGGCGTGGCCACACCAAATATCACTAATAATAAAAGACTACAAACTGTCTTAGATTAACGAAACGTTTAAAAGCTGTTTTAATTATATGCCAAAACAGAATCAAGTTCTGTAGATGAAAAAGTTCTTAGTCCTTACTGGTTAGTTCTAATGCTATAATAAACTGAACAACTATCTCTATCTCTGTAATGGGTTTCCATTACCTTAACAAATGATCTTACAATCTTAAATTTGATATATTATAATACAATTATATAAAACAGAACTTTTGTTTTCCTTTCTTTGCAAATAAATAATGGAGATCTAAAGTTCTTTTGACAAATATGTACTATATACATAAAGCAATAATATAAATCATCTAGTAAAAAAAATTCAAAATAAAAGTTAATTGCCTAGTTACATAATTTAACTGTAAATATAGATCACCGGCTTTTATAATCAATAGAGTAATATAATAAAGTAAACAGTTCTGAGAATAATAGCAGAATTTTTAAAATTTTAGATACACAAAGATTACTATATAATGGCCAAACTATCGTCATCCGCAGAAACAAAAAATTACTTTGTTCAAAATTTATAAATTTCTGATATGTTCCACAACATTCAAAATTTGAAGGCAATGATAATATTATCGCAGACCGACAGACGTACAGATTTTGCATAGTAATTAGTATTTAACTAACTAATACTCCATCAATACATATTTATCTTAAGTTGCCAAAATATAAAATAAACTAAAAATCGCAGCCGCAGATCAAATTACGCATTGACCGGCTACAAAAAAATATACGAAACCCAAAAGATAAAGCCGAAGGAAAGAGTGGGCCGCAAAGAGAGCTGTCAATTAGGCTCGACAATGCGGCTCGCTGCACGGCACAAAGGTAACTTGAAAAATCAATTTTGTGCAAAACTTGACTGAATTGCACCTCATTTATAAAGCTAATTAGGAGTAACTTACCTTTAATTAAGAAGTCGCTGCACTTTTTTCTTACATGCTGCTCGGCTCGTCAGTTGATATCGATAATAAAAATGCTTTCTACAAATTCGCAATAGTTTGGGGCTCAGAACACAAATCCAACAACAAACGGCGTACGTGACCGAGTTCACAATAGACGTGTATATTCGGTTTATTTACAATAGATCAGCTCGTACTGCTGGACATGCCTGAGTGTGGGTGTCAACACGTGTGTGAGTGTGTGCTAGGCTGTCTCCGTTTCTGTTTACTGTGTTATCGCTGTCTTCATAAAAATACCACTATATTTGTTTTTGTGGTTTCCAATCAGTATCTATATACAACTGCACTACTCAATTTAAGGGACGCGTTTGTCTGTGGTGTCGCTGTCCATTGGCATTTCTGCAGTATACTCTGCAAACAACATTTGTCATTTGGTTTTACACACATAAAACTTTTCAGATTATGTAGTCACACACTTCACAATGGACTGTTACAAAATACATAGAAACTGCAAAATTTTTGCTAAATTTAACAAAACACATTGAAAGAACTAGAGCTGCACCACATACGATAAAACGATTCAAGCATCGATAGTACTTTGAGTACTTTGAGTGCTATATATCGATATTATACGGCAAAATAACTGGCTGTGCTGGTCACACCTTTTGCACACGTTTTCATCTGTGAGTGCGATTTGCATGAGGAGCTTGAAAAGTGAGTTTACCTTTATTAATATGTACATTGCATCAGCAAAAACTATAACAGCATTACATTATTTCGCAATACAACAGCTTAGCTATAAACACGAATAAGCAGCATGCCGGAACAGAAACAGCCAAACAGCACCGATTCGCCAGCCGGTGATGGAGGCCCACCAAAGACGGCCAAACAATTGGAAAAGGAGGCAAAGAAAGCGGAGAAATTGGCCAAATTACAGGCCAAGTTGGATAAAAAGGCTTCAGCAGCACCAGCGGCAGGAGAAAAGAAGGAAAAAGCCGAGGTAACTGTCTGTGCCACGAATTGTCATAGGTTATGCCGATTGGAGTTGTACTTGCAACAGAGAAGGGCAGCGTGTAGGGTATTTCGGCACTCGAATGACTCATGCACGGATGTGCAAAAACTTCGACTCATTTCAATTTCAACTCCATTAATAGTAATTGTGAAAATCGTAAACATTGCAGAAAAGTGAAAGCTAATTACGCTGCTATTGTTATGCCCTGTATACAAAAATCTGGAAATGGGTATGATAAATTTGTGAGAGGGTACGTAAGTGGCAATAGTAAAAGTATCGTAAAAATATAATATTTTAAATTAAAATAACACATATTGAAAGAAAACGGTTAGGAAATTTGTCTATATATTATTTCAGAAAGAAAACTAATATTTATCAAGTATTTATGTCAGGTATTGCAAATGTAAATAACGGAGCAAACAACATGTAAGATATACGATTCTCCTGGAGGTGCAGGGTATTTTTAGGCTCACCTTCCATATTTCATATGTGCTGTTATTTAGCTTGGCTCAGTGAAAGTTACAATCACGCTTTTGTTGTTACAGAAACGCACCAAAGAAGTCAAAGAATCAGCAGTTTATACCGCCAGCACAGCTCCTGGCGAAAAGAAGGATATCAGCGGAGCACTTCCCGATGCATATAGTCCACGGTACGTGGAGGCCCAGTGGTACAGCTGGTGGGAGAAGCAGGGGTTCTTCACACCCGAATATGGCGTAAGTGTAAAAATATATTCTTTTTAAAGTAATTTCTAATTAGCTTTCCCTCAGCGCGATTCTATTGATGCCCCTAATCCGAATGGGAAATTCATCATGGTCATACCGCCTCCGAATGTTACGGGCTCCCTTCATTTGGGTCATGCCTTGACCAATGCCATTGAGGATGCCATCACGCGCTATCACCGCATGAAGGGACGCACGACATTATGGGTGCCGGGCTGTGACCATGCGGGCATAGCCACGCAGGTGGTCGTTGAGAAGCTACTTTGGCGGGAAGAAGGCTTGTCCCGGCACGATCTGGGGCGCGAAAAATTCATTGAGCGCATATGGGACTGGAGACGTGAAAAGGGCGGTCGCATCTATGATCAACTAAAGGCTTTGGGTTCCTCCTACGATTGGACGCGCGTAAACTTTACCATGGACCCGAAGCTGTGTCGCGCCGTTACGGAGGCTTTTGTGCGTCTGCACGAACAGGGAACCGTTTATCGTAGCTCCCGCTTGGTGAACTGGTCGTGCTCACTGCGCTCCGCCATCTCAGATATTGAAGTGGACAAAGTGGAACTGCCCGGCCGTACATTCCTAAGTATTCCGGGCTACGATGAGAAGGTGGAGTTCGGCGTGCTCATCAAGTTCGCCTACAAGGTGGAGGGCAGCGACGAGGAGATCATTGTTGCCACCACTCGCATCGAGACCATGCTGGGTGATACGGCTGTTGCAGTGCATCCACTGGACGAACGCTACAAGCATTTGATTGGCAAGCATGTGGTGCATCCGTTCTGCGATCGCCGCCTGCCCATTGTCAGCGATGAGTTTGTGGACATGAGCTTTGGCACGGGCGCCGTTAAGATAACTCCCGCCCACGATCCCAATGACTACGAGGTGGGCAAACGCTGCAATCTGCCCTTCATTACCATATTCAATGATGACGGCTTTATCATTGGCGACTATGGCGAGTTCACGGGACTTAAGCGTTTCGATTGCCGAAAACGGCTGCTGGAAAAGCTTAAGCAATTGGGACTCTACCGCGAAACACTGAATAATGCCATGGTTGTGCCCATTTGCAGTCGTTCCAAGGATGTGGTGGAGCCACTCATCAAGCCGCAATGGTATGTCAGCTGTGCGGATATGGCTGCCGCTGCCACGGAATCAGTGCGGTCTGGTGAGCTAAAGATTTTGCCGGAGCATCACACCAAGACCTGGTATCATTGGATGGATGGCATACGGGACTGGTGTGTCTCGCGGCAGCTCTGGTGGGGTCATCGCATACCCGCCTATCATGTGAGCTTTAATGATGCCAGTATTAAAGCCAGCACGGTGAGCATTAAACTTATTTTATTCGTATCTCAAAATAAACATTTTCGCAATTTCTCTATACAGCCCGATGATGAACAGTATTGGATCGTGGCACGTAGTGAAGAGGAGGCCTTGAGCAAGGCGGCCACACGCTTTGGCGTGGATGCCAGCAAAATTGTGTTGCAGCAGGATGAGGATGTGCTGGACACCTGGTTCAGTTCCGGTCTGTTTCCGTTCTCCGTGTTCGGCTGGCCGGACAACACAGTTGATTTGCAGACGTTCTATCCCACGTCCCTATTGGAGACAGGACACGACATTCTTTTCTTCTGGGTAGCGCGCATGGTCTTCTTCGGCCAGAAGTTGATGGGAAAGTTGCCTTTCAAGGAGGTATATTTACATCCAATGGTGCGTGATGCTCACGGACGCAAAATGTCCAAATCGCTGGGCAATGTTATCGATCCCATGGATGTGATTCATGGTATTTCATTGGAGGGCCTGCACAAGCAACTCATTGGCTCCAACTTGGATCCCCGTGAGATTGAGAAAGCCAAACTGGGTCAGAAACAGGACTATCCACAAGGCATACCCGAGTGCGGTTCGGATGCGCTGCGCTTTGCACTGTGTGCCTACATCACGCAAGCTCGTGATATTAATCTGGATATTAATCGCGTGCAGGGCTATCGATTCTTCTGCAACAAGCTTTGGAATGCCACGAAATTCGCCCTGCTTTACTTCACCGGCGATGAGCTCTACAACACCCAGGTGACAATCTCAAATCAATCGAATCAAATGGACACCTGGATTCTGTCCCGATTGGCGGCCACTATTGAGGCATGCAATGCTGGATTTGAATCCTACGATTTCGCGGCCGTAACCAGTGCCTGCTATGCGTTCTGGCTGTACGATGTGTGTGATGTCTATTTGGAGTGCCTGAAGCCCATCTTCCAGAGCGGTAATGCCGAGCAGCAGGCTGCAGCTAGGCGCACATTATATGTGTGCCTGGACTATGGCCTACGTCTGCTCTCGCCTTTCATGCCCTTCATTACCGAGGAGCTGTTTCAGCGTCTGCCACGGGCAGACACCACGCCCAGCATTTGCGTAGCCAGTTATCCAAGTGAGAAATAGCCATGCATAATCGACATAATCGAATTATATTTAATGACCTTTCATTTCCACAGCGAATACCAGCTGGCGCAACCCTCAGGTCGAATCGGATGTGGAATTCGTACAGAAGGCAGCGCGTGTGATACGCTCCGCTCGATCCGACTACAATTTGCCCAACAAGACCAAGACGGAAGCCTACATTGTGTGCACAGATCCAGCGCCCAATGCGATACTCAAGCGTTATGCCAGCGACTTGGCCACTATTGCCTACTGCTCCACTGTGGCATTCGATACTGCACCGCCCGCTGGCTGCGCCATACTCACCATCTCGGGACAGTGTGAAGTGCATTTACTGCTCAAGGGCCTGATCGAGGCGGACAAGGAGATTGCCAAGCTGCAGAAGAAACGCGATCAACTGGAACAGACCGTCAGCAAACTCAGCCAGGCCATTCAGGCCTCCGACTACGCCACCAAGGTACCTGCCGAGGTGCAAGCGGCCAATGATACGAAGCTAACCGAATCCCGTACCGAAATCGAACGCATTGCTGCTGCCATCAAGACGCTGAAGCTAATGTGAATCAACTAATCCTTGGGTGCACAGTCTGAGCTGCATTTTTGTTGATATTCTATGAATTTCTGATTCTTTAAACCTTTTTATTAGCTAAAATTTATAAAATATGTGCTAATTTATTAAATGCAAGACATGATTTTTAAAAGAGAAAAACTGAATTTTGATTATTTTTCTGTTTTTAATACAAAGGTCAGTTAACAATTTATTACATATTTTACCTTGTCACAATTGTACAAATTATCCAGGTCCCAGTTAAGCTAAGGACCAATGAATCCATGGGGTATATGCTCATTAGCGTTGTTTATGAATACTCGACATACATTAATTAAATACATAATTGATTAGATTCTCTATAGAAGTGGAGGTTTAATAGGGTACATATATATATCTGCAGCGAATGCGAACTCCAAGAAGTCTTGGATAGAGCACTCTTACATCTTATACTCCTTCAAGAAGTGAAATGAGTTTTGTGCCGCTGTCCGTCCGTCTGTTTATTTATCCTTCTATCCTTATGAGTCTTGAAATTAGGAATATATTTATGTATACTCTTCTGTAAGCTCGTCTGATAGTCTTCAATTTTTCGCCATCCGCCCAGTGGGGCGTGGCAAATCGGAAAATGCATTTGAAATGCTAGATGTTATGCCAGAACTGCTAGATAAGTAGATAAGTAGTTGAAAAATTAAATGTAAATGTATTCGGGTTGACAAACCAAGATCAATAGGAATGAATCATTATGTAATCATATCATCTGTGGTTATACAGTTATAAACTTCGAGTTCAATGACTAAAGTACTGTTGATCTGCTGTGAATGAGTATTCTGGAATCGGTAGCGCCCAACTGTAAGGTTATTACTTTTTAAGGCACCTCTGTCAGCAATGCGAACAAGTTTTGTAAACTATTTAAAATCTATTCCAGGCTCTTTTAGATAGATAGATTCTTTTTGGAACGAAATATATTTACGGAATTGTTCTCAGTACCTCAAGACCATGGCTCATTTTCAGCTCTCTATTTGAGGGCTGCATTGAGTCCTTAGCTAAACGCGAAGCTGTGTCAGATATAAACGAAAGAGTGTTCTCCGTTTATTCCAACACTTCTTCAAGCGTCCATTGCCCAGCCGGCACCCGCGTGGAGGGTTAGGTCTGAGGATTTTTGCCAGCCAACCCATCTAACCCATATTAGGATGATCAATTTCAATGAGTCTACAAAAAATTTATAAGTATCAAGCAAATCTAGGGTATAATAAAATATTGAAGGATGTCAACCAAATTAGAGACAGTAATTTTAAGAAAATAAAAAAAATTTTTTTTTTTTTTTTTTGGCAGAAGTGAAAGATAACTAGAGACGTGTTTCGACTTAATAAAATTTTAGGTATACAAGTAAAAAAAATTTAAAAAAAAAAACGTGAGTTAAAAGTATTGATTCACGGTACCGTAAATATACCTTATATATAGTATATGGTTTCTTAAATCTGATTAAAAGCGGAAAACTGATATTAGCCTAAGAAAGTTATATAGTAAAATAATATAATATCTAAAAAGTATTTAAATGAAAACGAGCCACATTAATCTATATCTATAATAAGGTATCAGGTTAAGTATTATATAAATTTACCCGGTGAGCATTCCATAGATCCAGATTGGAAGAGACATACCTCCGGGGCCTATTTGACATGCATGTTATCAAACCACCAGTTAAACTTCCAGTTAAAGTCGTGACTTACCTCAAGTGGTGCACCACCAATGCTGCCCATTGAGCTGGCCAACAGCAGCAGAAGAAAGGCCACTTCCTTTTTCCCCAATGGAGCTAGTATATACATGGTAGTCGAAAGCTCAGTCGCTTTTGTATCTGGATATCTCAATGCAGCACAGCACAATCCACAGCGGGATGTAGAGAGAAACTGTGGCACTTTACCGGAATGTGGCACATTTTATACTATTTGCTTGGCTCCCAGAAACAGGGTGACCCACCCAATATGTGCGAACAGTTGGAACGGAACAAGCCGAAAGGAGAGTGGGAATACCCCATATGACAAAGTGGGCAGCGTTTTCCTTGATGCCGCACTTGCACCATATTTCAAATAATTTGTGGTAAATACTCCAGCAAACACAGAAGCAGAGTGCGTCTGGCTGAGATTTAAGCAAACATAAGCGCATTAGGGGCATATGTTCAATTTAATTACGTGTGCGGCGGCTGCGGCCGTATAGTGTGTGTGGCCGTATAGTATTGGTTAGGTTAGTGCTACTGTTTTCCAGTCTATTAATAGACAGTTTTGAGGTTAGTCGTCAGAGATAGCGCAGTTAACCCTAATTCAAATAATATGATATTCAGTGACGTAGTTGATATCAATCCGGCGCAAATTTTATCAAATGGACACAGAAGCCAAAGCTCCTTATGAACGATTTAAAATATGGGCATTTCTCTAGGGTCAACGAAATCATGTTCTGCTAACATATTTTTTTATAACTAATTTAACTAATATAAACCAATTTTACATTTGCTCATAACTCATCTCAAAATATTGCTACACAAAGCCGAACAAGTGCAAAAGTTCTGTTTGAGCTTTTCTACTGCACATTTTGTTCTCATTACTGTTCTTAAAGAGAGACACTATGCAAATAATAATCCAGTTCTTAGAACGAGCTAACGGTAACATAACTGCAAAATTTGGACGCTTGCGCTCCAAAAATGTGCAAATTACACGGTATTTTTCGATATGACACGCCTATAAAGAGGCGCAACAATTATTTTTGGGTCATCGATAGAGGAGTTCACTAGTAACTCAACTATCCAAATTTGAAACTTCTAGCTCTTATACACTAGGAGATATAAACTTTGGCGGTTTGCTACGCCTCCTGTGGACGGACATATATCCGCTATAGATTTTTGGTCTTGGGTGGTCAGCCTGAGTATATATATGATATTTCAGGTCTCTAGCATCAATACTGCTATATCTTCAGGTGCAATTTGACGCGCCCCTAGTGGGGCACTTTTTTAAAATATCAAATTGAATTACATTTTTATTCCTTCTCATTTAAGACAATTTCACCAATATGGTGGAAATAAAAATCGCATACCCAAGCTTTATGTAGATTGTGAATGTTGACTTATTGCTAATTTGTTAGCTAATTAGTAGATCATTGGAGATCAATGATTTGTTAAGTCAAAGTTTTTTTGTGTTTCATCCCTGGTAGCTCCTAATACCTTTATCAGTCTTCCTTTTGGGTTTCCTCGCAGAAACTGATGCGACATGTAACAGATGGATCCCCCGATCAACCAAAATAATAACAACCGGCTTTAAAAGACACCTTGAGTGCCACTTTATATCTTTGCAAGTTGTTGTCGCAACAATCATAGGAATCATAGGAAACTAATATTAAATATTGTATTGATTCTAAATACTTGGAGGAAGATTTTCCAAATTCACTATATTTTTGTTTCTCTATTCAATCACTCACACAACAATTGCAAATTTTAATTACATTTACGGGTACAATCAACAACTAAAGCTTGCTTGAGTTTTGGAAGGATAAAAAATTGGACTTTATGCCTTGCGATCATGGCGAAAATATATAGAATATATAAACAAAATAATATACTTACATATAAGCAAAAGTATGCTGTACTGACTTTAATACGCATTCATGTGTTAGACTTTCTGCGTAGAAAAAATCCTGTTGATCTTATATCATTTTTACGCATTCCCTGAATTTATTGATCTTCCAAAAGTATAAGGAAATAAGGATCCAACTATACATGCTCCAAAAATAATACCGGAAGTCTTTCGTTTTTATAGTTATGCTGCTTAACAATACGATCATAATCAGACGAATTGTAAATTCCAACTACATGCATAAATAATCATGGCTATACATCAGTAAAAGACTATATCTAATTATGATTATATCATTTCAGTACACTAACTAATGAGTTTATTGAATTCTTTTTAATAAATTAAAATTTAAGTGGACCACGCATTTCAAATGTACTGTTTACAAAGCCCACGTAGAAACTATAGTTTTTATTGCCAAAATGCCAGCATTGCTAAGTTACAAGTGTGACTTCACTTTGATCTAAATTCCGACACTTTTATCTATCTTAAAGCCAGTAGACAAAATGAAAACGTGCTGTGCGGATAATTAAATTCAATAAATAATGGCAGGGTCAACCAGAGCTTTCATGTGATAAATAAAAATACAATTTTTTGTATATTTAATTTTTTATTTAATAATAAATAAAAATAGAATTTTTGTATATTTAATTTTTTATTTAATAATTTAAATCAATAAATAAACAAGACGTGTTTTATTTTGATGAAAGCATACCAACCAGATCTCTAAACGAAAATCTGATTGATTCGAATGTAAATGGCAATAAATAGATCTGATTAGGCAGGATATATGTGGTATATGTATAATTTACAGCAATGGATATGGTATATTCTACCAGGTGAGACGTGTGGCGTGATCCGTCTTACGCTTTGACATTTTAATGTAGCCCAGAAATTGAAGTTCGGCCACAGCGCGAGTAAAACGAGCTCTGAGCAAAGGAAGGCAAATCAATTTGTAAATATTTAGACATACTTTATATACTCATTTGATATACTCACTGAATCTGTGGATCGATCTGGTCCTGGGGCATTTCGTTCTCTTCTTGTTCTTCGCCAGTCCGCAGAACGGAACGGAACGCCTGCAGCCAGTCGAATAGATTAATCATGCGACCGCACTCCAAGTGCAGTTTGTAGACCACCGACAGGTCGGGCATGGTGCTGGTCAGCTGCGACTGTTCCTGCAGCTCGCAGCATTTGCATTGCATATAGAAATGAGGATTATTGAGGGCCGTATGCAGTGCTGCACGAGGGGCTCCAATGATATTACGACGAACAGTCGCAATATCACTGAAGACGTAGATTTCGTGGAGCGGCGGTGCCTGCTGCAGCGGACGCAGATGGGCAAGCACCAAATCCGTCTCAATGAGAGTCAAAATCTTATTGAGAGCGCGGCTGAACTCCGACGTGGATTGCTGTTTGTCCTGTTTGCTGCGCAGCAGCAGCTGCTCCTTCAGCTCCTGGCGGGAGGCAACCTGCGTGAGGTCGCTCAATGGAGCACCGTCTGTTAGCGAATCGGCTTCAATGGCGGCTGTTTGCAGCTCCATGGTTGCCAGCTCGACATCATTGAGCAACTGCTTGAGCGCTTGAAGCTTGGCGCGCATCAAGTCCGAGCACGCATCGCCCAGCTCTAGAGGAGCTATCTGCTCGGTGAGAAAGAGCTCAGTGCGCGCAATACACCTGCCTAATTTGGCCACAAATTCAGCTTTGGACATAAAGCTTAGCATCTGCCAGCATTCCTTGTACTCGGGCTGCTCGCTGATGGGTTTGTTGAAGCAGTTCACGTAGAGCTCTCGCCGCAGCCTGCCCAGCGGACAGCGTGGCAGATCGCCCACAAGTTCCGTGAAGAACTCCAAGCAGCAGCGGAAGAGCATGAAGTGCAGCAGGCAATCGCGAAGCAGCTGTGGCAGCTTCTTCTTCAAGTAATCGTCGTCGGTGAGCACGGCTATGATGCGTTTGCAATCGTTGATCTGCTCCACATAGGGGCGAAAAGAGGGCAGCCGTCGTATGGTCTCCATGTCCTCATGCGTCAACTGCTTAATGCGCACCAGCGCCTGGCTATAGCTGGTGCATAGGGCGTAGGCATTGCCGGCAAAGTAGTGCTCCATGAGGCAGTACTTGAAGCCCTGTATGAAACCGTGTATAGAGAAGTCGTAGTAAAGGAAGATGTGCGTCAGAAACTTGAACGCTTTGCCGGACAAATGAAACACATACTTCGGCGAGAGCAGCACCTGGTCGAGCAGCTGGAACATAAGTGAACATACGTAAGCGACGAGAATAGCTGACGGGAAGTCTCTGAACTATACCTCATTAAGCCCCGTAGGTGCAGCCTGGGTCTGAAATACTCGCAGCTTGATCTTACTGCTCACGTGGTACGGCAAGGTGCTGTGCACCGCTGTCATGGCGGTGGCTACTCCTAGCACTAGAACAAAGGGCAGGCGTCCACATTGAGCGCTGAGTATCAGAATGAAGTCTTGAAGCACGCTCGCGTTGAAGCATTCGAAATCCGGCAAAATAACAACCAAGGCTCCGTGTTTATCCCCACCAGCATAGTTATTTGCGTACCATGAATGCAGATGCTTCATGGTGCACTGCGTGCGACGCAGACGTTTGCGATCCCGCTCACGTCCCTCATCTTCATCCCCTTCATCTAGATTCACGGGCTCAGACTGCTCATCTATCAGATTGTATACCATGGACTCCACCGCCGCTTTCAAAGTGGTGCAATCTCGCGATTGGAGCACACAGACCCGAGCCGCCTTTTGAGTATGAAGACGCTGCGTGAACGTCTCAAATTGCTTCAGATGATCAGGCTGGTTGATACCTGTCAGCAGCGCCGCTGTGGGCAGCACTTCACCACTGTCCATGTTGTCAGTCCGCTCTCCAGTTACAAAATCCATCAGTTCCTCGAGCGTCCGTGCATTGCTCGCCATTTGCAACTGCACTATGTGACTATGGATCTGGTTCCAGCACTCAGAGTAGGCAGCATAGAAAGGTTGGCTGGTCAGCTCCTTGCCCAGCAGACTGGGTGTTGTCTCAGAACGTTTTCGTTTGCTAGGCGTTCTTTTATTGGCGCGTGTCGCGCCATTCTTGTATACAAAACAGCCCTAAACAAATATAGGAAACATTGTCAATATGCAAAGCCTACAAGTTAGGAGCTCACCTTCGAGACAGATATGGTTGGATCCATGGCTCTTGCTTAATTGAACTCTGTTCGGTAATATTGCAAAATATAAAAACAATTGCTTATGTCAGCTTTGTGCCAAATA